AAATCATATTATTTTTTAAATTATAAGTACCTTATAATCTCAGAGGAGATGATACATCAGAGTATAACCTACATTTAAGCTGTCTGCAGTGGAATCTTTCAGATGGACTGAGGCTGAAGGTTTTCTCTATTCTCTGTCCAGTGGTCATTTCAGGGGTTTCACTTTTACCACACAGATGGAGTTATCCATCCCAGGAAGTGCAGGAGAAGAGCCTTTTCCTCTGTTTACCACTAAGCCTCCACTGGGAAATTGGTGGGCAGCCTCATTCTGGTGCTCTGGAGTTCACTCCCACCTGCTACAACCCCCAAGCTGTTGTTTTTTTAAAGAAAAGAAATGATGCCCTTTTGAGACCTTTGATGGAACCTTGGATGACAAAGAAAACAAATGGATCCTTGATCAAATCAAGCCTCACCTTTCACTCAAAATCCAGAGAACCAAGCTGAGGTGGGTCGTTTTCCATTTGGAGTGGGAATTCAGGTGGATACATTTTTAAAATATCAGTTTCTTTCATCCCAAAACGAAATAATCTTAATGTCCATTAACATCTCCTATTATCATACGTGCAAAAAGGAGAGCTGAATTCCAGACATATTTTACAGTCACTGGTGTATGAATATGGTGTAACACCAGTGACGGTGACTCCAGTGAGGATTCTGTAAATTGGCTGACTCGTTGGTGAGTCAGGTGACCCTGAGTATTTAAAATCAGTAATAAAAATGATATATTTGGCTTTATTTTGACAAAATTTTAATTACCCAGCCATTAAAGCACATAACACCGATGACACTTAGCAGTTCTGAGCTGCCTGATAAACAAAATGATTAATAAATTAATGAAATATAGTGAGCGAGTGTGACTCGCCTTCTCATGCCTTGAGATGCTTCCTCTCTGATGAGCCTCGACCCAAAGAAGCAGTTTAATAGAGCTGAAAATACTGTGTTAAAATGTAAAATAAGAGTCCTCATAACAGCAGTGACCAAAATCTCCGTGACAAATGAATTAAAAACATACATATTTTTAAATGTAGTATAACATCAATGATGTAAGAAGTAAACATGAATCTGTTCTGAGTTAAACCTCTTAAAACTATTGTTTTATATTAAAAATGGTTGAAAGTTGGTTTTGTGACGAGCTGTTTTACAGACGCAGAGCGACTATAAAACAGGATAAAAAAAGAAAAATCAGAGAATCATAAGGGAAAAGTGTTATTTAATCTTAGGTCAACTGTGTAAATGTACATACTGACTTTTGGAGCTGTGCCTGATATTTTAATCATCTTTTTAAGCCCTGCAGCCTTTGTGACACGGTCTCCCCTCCAAACGGAGAACGACCCAAGCTCTTATTTTGGACACATTATGAAAAGAACCAGTCCATTGGTAAAGACCACAATGCTTAGAATAGAATCATGAAGAATCAGCCATTAAGAAGCTTAAAGGCCCAAACAGAAGACAGGACACTCTGGAGAATCCATATGGTCACCATGAGTTGGAGCCAACTTGATGGCATTTAATAATACTTATAATAATAATCTTATTCTTAAACAGTGTTACGTTTTCTTGCAAAACATTATAGCTCCATCTTTTCATTTATTTTAATTTGATTTATTTATTCATTTAATTTCATTCATGCTGAATAGACCAACAGAAACAAAACAGTACCTTATTACTTTGACTGAAGTACCTTATAATCTCAGAGGAGATGACACATCAGAGTATAACCTACATTTAAGCTGTCTGCAGTGGAATCTTTCAGATGGACTGAGGCTGAAGGTTTTCTCTATTCTCTGTCCAGTGGTCATTTCAGGGGTTTCACTTTTACCACACAGATGGAGTTATCCATCCCAGGAAGTGCAGGAGAAGAGCCTTTTCCTCTGTTTACCACTAAGCCTCCACTGGGAAATTGGTGGGCAGCCTCATTCTGGTGCTCTGGAGTTCACTCCCACCTGCTACAACCCCCAAGCTGTTGTTTTTTTAACAAAGTGCACATTGACCTTTCAACATGTGGCGTCCCTCAGCGAACGTCAATGCATTTCTCACTGGCGATGGACAAAAGATGGACCTTCCACCAGAAAGACGCCAAAAACAGCAGAGGAGGGTCTGTGTAGCACTTTAAAAAACACCTTTCTGTTACAGTTAAATGCGTCATGTTTCAAAGAGCTGCTATTTGAGGGTAAATCTGGACTGTAACATCACAGAAACATCAGTGTTTAAAACCTAAACTTATTATTTTTGAAAATAATATTTTTACATTTTCCTTGCATTTGATTTCTTTCTTTCTTTTTGTGTACCAAAAAAACAGCCACAGCCAATTTTTACATGACTATTTTCCAACCTCTTTTTAAGGCTGTACCTTTAAAACTTTATATGTAAATGAGCTCTGTGCTGATTGGCCCTGTATTGTGCCTCATTCAAAAAGCACTCTGGGCTGAAATGACAAAAGTAATCAATTCAAAATGGGCTGTTTTTGTAAGGCTGAGCAGCACAATTTGAAACTTTAACAATGATTATTGACAACATCAAACAGATTTAAATACAAAACAATAAAGGAAATGTATTTTTTTCCATGACATAAACCCCTTAAAAATATGTACCACAATTATTTTTGTAAATTGTTCTATTCTTTACCATTTTAGTTCATTTAATGTTACAGTCAAGCAAAAGTTTTAGGCAATTATCCCACTGTATTAAATAATTTTAGTAATAAATGCGCTTTTGCTTGTAAATTCAACAGATTTAATTAGAATGAAAGTAAATAAACACAAACATATTAAAAATTAATACGGATTTCTTTTTGATTTGTATTAATGAACAAAAGCAGGTATTGTATAATGACTACAAATAATGCTGTTTCTGTGAGGAGAGATTTGGAGACATACTGACAGACATAAAATCACTACTTATTGTACTAATGTTGTTTGGGTTTTATTGTAATATTAGTGCTTTTCAGAGCGAATAAACACTTATTGATCAAATTAATTAGTTGTGAAGTTATATCACACCGAACAGGCATAACATTATGACCATTGTCCATTTTATCAGCTCCACTTACTATATAGGTGCACTTTGTAGTTCTACAGTTACAGACTGTAGTCCATCTGTTTCTCTGCATACTTTGTTAGCCCCCTTTTACCCTGTTCTTCAGTGGTCAGGACCTCCATGGACCCTCACAGTGCTGCTGGAGTTTTTAAACACTGTGTCCACTCACTGTCCACTCTATTAGACATTCCTACCTTGTCGGTCTACCTTGTAGATGTAAAGTCAGAGACGATAGCTCATCTGCTGCTGCACAGTTTGTGTTGGTCATCCTCTAGTCCTTTATCAGTGGTCACAAGATGCTGCCCACAGGACACTGTTGGCTGGATATTTTTGGCTGCTGGACTATTCTCAGTCCAGCAGTGACACTGAGGTGTTTAAAACTCCAGCAGCACTGCTGTGTCTGATCCACTCAGACCAGCACAACACACACTAACACACCACCACCCCGTCAGTGTTACTGCAGTGCTGAGAATGATCCACCACCCAAATAGTACGTGCTCTGTGAGGGTCCATGGGGGTCCTGACCACTGAAGAACAGGGTAAAAGGGGGCTAACAAAGTATGCAGAGAAACAGATGGACTACAGTCTGTAACTGTAGAACTACAAAGTGCACCTATATAGTAAGTGGAGCTGATAAAATGGACAATGAGCATAGAAACAAGGATAATCATAATGTCATTATGTTATGCCTGATCGTTTATACATCCTTGACAAAGAACACACATTTAACATATTGGGGTAAAATGCTCCATAAAATTCTCCTGTGCAATGGCACATTTTATATAAATTCAAACTTTAATTTATGAATAATTTATACTCAGCAAATATATAGAATCTATGATTAGAATTAGCAGAGAAATGCCATATTTAATGAGTACTCTGTAGAAGATGTGCTAACCTTTCTCTGATTTTCTCTTTGAAAATCAATAACAACATGTCATTTGACCAGGGGTGTTCAAACTTTTGCTTGTGACTGTACGCTGCAATCAAAATAATATAAAACCAGTGTGGTGGCAGATAAACATATAAAATGATTCGGTAACACTTTCTATGAATGTCACCTTTATAAGCATCTATAAACACATTCATAACATGTTATAATGCATTCATAAGGCATTATAAACATGGCTATAAATATTTATAAATATGCATTACACGTTATAGCCATGCTTATTATGCATTATGAATTGTTTACATAATACATTATAAGTACTGATCATAACAAATTATAAGAGCTCATAAGTCATATTTGTCCGCTCTAAGTAAAGTGAAGCGTACTGTACTAAAGCCTCCTCCAGTGTTCAGAGTGAGGCTTCAAGTTGAAGTATTTACTGAAGGATTTACTGAAACACTAAAACATTCACAGTAAAGCACATTACAGGCTTCAAATGTCAGAGTTTAAACTAGAGCTGCCATCAGTGTTTTACCCAATGTGGGAAAGGTAATGTTCACCACCGTTAGCTTGGTATTTGTCTTTACTTTACGCTCTCCAAGCTGGGACTGACTTCTTTGGCACTGACATTATAACATGTTATTAACACTATTTATAATGCATTATATTAACAATTCATAATGTATAATAAACATTGCTATAAAATGTAATCCAGTGTAATTAATTTTTATAAATATTTATAATGATGTTTATAATGCCATATGAAGGCATTATAACATGTTATGAACGTGTTTATAGATGCTTACAAATGTGACATTCATAGAAAGTGTTACCAATGATTCTAATATATTAGTCTATGCTAGTTTATATAATTGAAAGTGGCTATAAAATGAAAAGTTAATAAATTAATAAAATGAATATTTATAATGTTTTTTTTGAAAAGTCACAATCACATCTTGAGACAGATAACTTGACAGAATTCCTATAAACAGATAATAACATTGTATCATTATTTAATAACTCCTTGTTGTTTCAAAAAACACTGCTCATTACAGATTTATCAACACCATGGATTATTTTATAAAAAGAGCATTTATTTCAAAGTTTTCCGCTTCTTAGATTGAAGCACATAATAAAGCAACAGTACAATGTTCATAAAATATAAGTGTGATGCTGTAACAGTTTCGTACATGTTGAAATACTGATATTTGTATGTATACTAAAATAAGAACTTTTAAAATTGTACAAATAGTTACCATAAAATTGACATAGAAATTAGCTGTTTCTCACTGCGACAGGACAGATTGCTATTTTCTCACAGGGGAGAATAATAATATACGCCATTAAAGAAAATGAAGAAATGAAGAGATTGAAAATAATGATAATCGTAATAATTATATCATCATAATAAAAAAAAGAGGAGATTTTACATGAACCGATAGGCGCAAGTTTGATCCTCAAGAGACATATCTGCACGTTTGTACTGTACATACGTTATATGGATTTTATCTTGCTTTAGGATATAGTTTTCAAGTTACAAAAAAAAAAAAAGAAAAATGCACTGCGTTTGCGAGAGTGTCCGTGATTTTAAGGCGATTTTTTGAGCTCACGTGTCTTTCTTTGTTGTGGTTCATTGGTGGTGTTGGCCTGAAGGTGGGTTTGTATTTTTTTTTTTGTTATTTGTTTGTTTGTTTGTTTGTTTTTTTGTCTTGCCTTTGTTGGATCCTTCAACTTCAGGGCCTATTTTTATTAAAAAAAAGAAGAACAAAAATGAAAAATAAAAGAAGAAGAAGACGTCCTGTTTAGGCAGATCCTCCGACGGCCAGTAGGAGGCGCTACAGAAGGGACAAAGTCTGAGTTTGCTGACATTTTTTCTCGTGTTTTTTCATTAATAAGGCAACTGTTTTTCTCCATTGTGAGCTCATTCACAGTATCAGCATTTCCACGTCTTCCTGTGACCCACCTTACGAACAAGAAAAGAGTGAAATACGTTGCGTTCTTTCGTTCTCAAATGACCACGTTTCTTCGGATTTCCGTACATCCCACAGAGGTGTGTCTTTTTTTTATTTTCTTTTTGTATTTTTTCTTTTTTTCACGTTTTATTTTTTCCCCCCACTTAGCCTTCATCTTCCGATCGTACCCTACACGTAACGATCTCCTACCGTTTATGCAGTATACTGGCACGTATACTCGAAACAAGCGAACGAAACGACCTAAAAAGTTTACTATAAATAGTAAATGAACTCGTGGAATACTTATAGTAAACCTCACACAGTACACATAGTTAGTGGAAGTGATGGGAGCGAGGTGTAAGAAGAATCGACAAAAAATAAAAACCCAAAAAAGTGGTCGTTAGGAGTTGTCGTCAGCCGAGTCTTTGGTGCCGTACAGGTCGGCGAGTTTTTTGAAGCGCGGCCCCCAGCTCTGGAGGTAGTCGTAGTCCAGGTCAGAATCCGTAGTGACTGATTCCAAAGAGCTGAGCGAACCCGCGATGGAGCCTCTGCCTTCATAGCCGTAGACCTGAATGGAGTCGTACGGTGGGGCGGTCGGGTCGTTGTCCGCGTCGGAAATCCTCGTTTTGATGAAATCGTCCACGTCGACGCTGTTAGCCACCGGCCTCAGCCCGGGCCTCAGAGGGTACTGCAGCTCCGGCTTGATGTCCTTGCGTGGCAGGAAGCCGTTGGCGCCGTCCGGGTTCTGGAGGGTGGCGATGTCGAAGGCCTCCGTGTCTTCCTCGCCGCCGCCCTCGTCGTCGTAGGTGATGATGTTTTCGCGGATGTCCTCCTCCTCGAGCACGATCAGCGGCTCCTTCTTCTGCCGCCGCAGAGCCACGAACAGAACCACGATCGCTGTAAAACGAGAAGAGCAGGAGTTTTGAGCACACCGGATACATCAATTTAACACCTCTTAGTAATTTAGATGAGTGATCAGGTCAACATATAAAAGAACTGTTATTGTGGTTAAATTCTCATGTTTATTGTATCAGTTGTACAGGACTGTTCGATATGTAGGAAGCTGCAGGTGTCCGTTTTATCTCGGCACGGCCGTCTTTTTGGAGGGGTGTGAATAGTTTTTCACAGCAGAGGGTCTCACCCTTCCCCTTACGCCCCTCGTTGCTCACTAGCAGCTTAACATTTCTTACACGGAGAGACAACAGAGTCCTAGCTCATCTAAAAGTTATGGTGGGAGAATATTTTATTTGATTAAATTAATTCAATAAATACATATCAATATGCTGCTGGTGGAATGGCCACTAGGGGGCCCTGCAGAAAGAGGTTAAACCCAGAATGATACCTCAATAGTTTATGTGAAGGTTTTAGAACATAAAGCTCACTCCTCCTAAACTAAGGTGCAGGAAATATTTGCAGAAAAATGCCATATTTAAGTGTGTTCACTGTAAAGGACATGTTAACTTATTTTTACTTAGAAAATCAACAAAAATTGAGCAGAGACACTCAAACTTTTGCATATGATAACAATTCCTGCTGACTAAACTGTGCACTAATACATACAAAAGAGAGACTGTGCTACTGAGTTAGCTGGAAGCTAAATTAGACAGCGTAACTATCCTCATTTTGAGTTTCTTCTGTTTATAGATGGCTTCCTAGCAACCAACTGGAAAACTTTCCATATTATCCCTAATATCACCACAATTATCATTACATTATCATTAATATCACCACATCTGGTGATTAACTTGCTAACTAAAAGGGGATTTTTGGTCACACTTTATTTGGATGGTCCCCTATAGATGATCTACAGATACTTACATTATTAAGAAACTTTCTGGTGATACTTTGTCGATTATCAACATTAAGGTTAATATTAATTTTAGGAGTAGATGTAGGTTTTTACAACAAAACATAAACGGTAAATGTCCAGCAGGACTGCAGATCTAAACTCCAGGCCTATTTACTCATTAATCTCCAGGCTTATTGTTAGGAATCACCCCTCTACGTTTATAATAATACACATTACTGTAATGCTAATAAACATCGGTGTAGTGAGTCATACCCAGCAGAATGACGATGCAGGCGAGGATGGCTATCAGAGCCCCGGTGCTGAGCCCAGCAGGCAGGACGAACGGCTCCACGTTGCAGGACAGGATGGTTTCTTTGCTGTCGCAGCTGCACACGCGGATCAGCAGCGTGTTGGTGCTGCTCATTGGAGGAACCCCGTTATCATTGATCTCTATGGGGAGCTCATAGACGTCCTGCGTCATCCTGCTGAAACCCCTCCGGATCACCATGACGTTGGCCGTGCTGTCTGTGGACGGACAGAAAGACGGAAATGTAAGATACAACATATAGAGAAAACATCAATAACAGTGTAAGTATAAACATCTATAACAGTACAACTAAGAAGAAAACCTCGTATCTCAAAAATGGTAACTTTACAGGAAAAGGAAAAAACCTACTTTACTTTTAATGTAAGTCAATGGAACCAGAATTATTTCCAAGTCATTTTGGGTCATTTCTTTTAGTCCATTGATCATGAAATTTACACACAATGTAAAGGGCTACAGCTATTTTCATATTATGTGGAAAACTTGGAGATATGAGGTTTTCTTCTGACAACAGCGATACACTCATTATGTCTGTACAAACTTTAATTAGTCTCAAAGTTAGCTGGATTAAGACGTCAATAGGCTGGAAAAATATATTCTATGTAGACATTATTGGTGACTTTACTTTACTTACTAAATTCTATTTCTATTTTATTTGTATTGATTTTATTGTGTTTATTATGTAATTCTATGTTTTTATGTTGTTCAGTAGTTTAAATATTTCACTTGCATATAGTAAATTACAGTTTTACTGTGTTTACCTTTGCATTTATAAAAATTCTTGCCGCTGATTACAATTTAAATATTATGTCTTTTTTCATTCTTTCCTGTAAAATAGTATGGTTGAGCTGAGTGGGATGTTTTTATTATTATTATTATTATTATTATTAGTAGTAGTAGTAGTAGTAGTAGTAGTAATGTAGGCTTACAAACATGCTATGTTTATGAAATGTATGAATGTCTGAAAATATCTGAGTAATAATGAGTCTTCATGGGTTCTAAACAAAGTATATATAGAACCATGACGACTACTGAATTTGTTAAAAAGATGCAATTTCCACCAACTCCGACCTTTTTTTGTCCAATTTGGGAAATGTTTTGTAGGGAATTGCTGGGGGGATGTCATGTTTTTTTATTTTGTTGGCACTGCTTTCACTGACATAAGCTTTTGTATATATATATATATATATATATATATATATATATATATGTTGTATCTGATGGTTCTGGATGTCTGTCATCTGTATGTCTTCATTCAATTCAGTAAACAAAGGACTCTGCATACTTATCATTTTACATATGCCACTCTGACAGTACATACAACCTCCATTTGCATTCTCTCCACTCACTCTGTTTGTATGTATATTATATTTATACTTGCAATATCTATATTTTTTTTTTTTTGTTTACCGATGTACCGTCCACAGCATTGCTTACCATGGTTACTTTCCTGCACTTTATACCTAAATAATACTGTATTTTGCACTTCTGGTTAGACGCCAACTGCATTTCGTTGGCTCTGTACTCTGCCCAGTGACAATACAGTTCAATCTAATGTGATCTAAACAACAGAAAAAGAACCAAAAGTCATTTTTGACCATTTCTGCTGGTCTACTTGACACAAAATGTCCACACGGTCTAAAAAGCAGCTCCCATTTTCAAACAGCGCAAACGAAAACATTATGAGGTTCCAGAGTTACAAGATATTTTTTTATGACGAGACGAGATGCTCCGACAGCTGTGAGGTTCGGTCTGTGTGGGTTCAGAAGATATAAGAGCACCAGAGAGAGAACAGTGAGGTGAGAACAGGCCTGTATTAAATTCGTCTTTACTCTGACAGACATCTATCTGCTGTAACCAGAGCTGAGGAGAAGGTTGAGGTGGAGGTGGAGGTGGAGGTGGCTTTAGTGAAGGCTGGGGACGAGCTGGATCAGCTCCAGCACACACACAGCTCTCTGTGCGCAAGGTCACACTTGGAGCAGAGATGGAGTGACTTCATTTAGTCACCCCGTGGCTTCTGTAATTTTCTCCCTCTCTCCCTCTCTCCCTCTCCCTCTCTCTCCCTCTCTCTCTCTGGCATCACTGTCTTCAGGACTCTGCGGCATAAAGGCCTCTAATGACACACCTTCAGCACTTATGCGGCGTGACACCAAGCAAAGGCTGCCTCACTCTCACCTCCTCTTATAATGCTATATCATATTCTGACTGCAAGATTACCATGAGCAGTCACATCTGAACTGTGAGTGCTCCTCTGGGGCTCCACCTCTTACACAGCGCTGAAGGAGCCTTTTCAAGTCGCTCTCGGCAGTAAACAGCTCATACTGAGCACCGTGGCAGCAGCGGCGCTCTCAGAGCGGTTCCTGTGGAAGGACGTCTCTGAGTATACACACATGCCTAAACTGCATTTAGTCACCACTTTACTAGAAACATTTACCATGCAGCCAAATTCACTGGCCATTTTATCAGAAACACCTACTACATACATGCAGACATAAAGGTGTTTCCAAGAACGTGGCACAGTTACTGCAAGTACAACGTAGGTGTTTCCAGTAAAGTGTCCAGTTAGGGGAAGCACAAGATAGGTGTTTTCAGTAAAGTGGCCAGTCAACGTAAGTAAAAGGTAGGTGTTTCCAATAAAGTGGCCAGTGAGTGGACGTACAAGGTAGGTGTTTCCAATGTAGTGACCTCGTTAGGGGAAGCACAAGGTAGGTGTTTCCAATAAAGCGGCCAGTGAGTGGACGTACAAGGTAGGTGTTTCCGATGTAGTGACCTTGTTAGGGGAAGCACAAGGTAGGTGTTTCCAATAAAGTGGCCAGTGAGTGGATGTACAAGGTAGGTGTTTCCAATGTAGTGACCTTGTTAGGGGAAGCACAAGCTAGGTGTTTCCAATAACGTGGCCAGTGAGTGGACACACAAGGTAGGTGTTTCAAACAAAGTGGCCAGTTAGTGGAACCACAAGGTAGGTGTTTCCAATAAAGTGTCCAGTGAGTGGACATACAAGGTGAGTGTTTCTAATAAAGTGGCCTGTTGGCAGGAGTACGGAGTAGGTGTTCCCAATAAAGTGGTCAGTAAGTGTATGTATTCTGTGTCCAGTGTCTTCTGCTGGTGTAGCAGCTAAATTTTCCTTTGGTCATCATTAAATCACGTCTCTCTGTCTATAATCCATTAACATAAGCTCATAAACATACATTTTTCCTATTTTAAATGCAATCGAGATGGTCATTGCTGAGTGCGTATAATAAGGGGGTTGTATAATTTGAAGCTGGTTTTCATTAAGTTGCGATGATAAGGCGACGTTAGAGGTCCGCGCCGAGCTGGACGTAATGGAGGGAGAGATAAACGAGTGGGTGAAAACTCTTCAAATCTGTGTCCATTTGAAAGGCTCCTCTGGCCGATGATAAAGCCAGTCAATCTGAGCGGCCTAATCTGTCTCCCTCACACTGCTGGCTTTTGAAATGGCCCGGTGAAAAAAAGCGCTCATTTCCGCTCTCATTAAACCAGATCAAACAGAGGAGACACCACCATCTCTCTCTGTCTCTCTCTCTCTCTCTCTCTCCCTCTCTCTCTCTGAGAGTGGCCTTAAAGCCCTGCTGATCTGCTGGTGAATGAAGGTGTGTCGTGGTGAAGCTGTTCACAAGAGAAACTCCTGAATGGCTTCATGTTATTAAGAAAGACGTCATCTGATAGTCAGCCAGTGATTATGTGGAATTACAGGCGGCAGCTGTTGACCGTCTCTGTCACTGAGTCATAATTGAGACGGGGTCATTTCACACTCACTGAGGATTTTTTAAACACTCAACTACAACTCTGCTTCATTTACATGCACATAATATTGTGACATAGTGTTAATTAGACAATTGTATCACATCATGACTTCGGTAGTAAGACAGCATGTTTTCTGCTATGAAAATTCATAGAGGCCACTTCTACATTTATGAATATCATCGTTATTGTTGTTGTTAATATGACTGTTAGCCATCCACTTCGGTTGAGTCTGCTGAGCAATCAGAGGCTGTGTTCCTGAATTGTCAACCAATCAGAGTCTGTGCTCCTGACTTGTTGACCAATCAGAGACCGTTTTCCTGAGTCGTTCACCAATCAGAGCCTGCGTTCCTGAGTTGTGAACCAATCAGAGGCTGTGTTCCTGAGTTGTCGACCAATCAGAGATTGTGTTCCTGAATTGTCAACCAATCAGAGGCTGCATTCCTGAATTGTCAATCAATCAGAGGCTGTGTTCCTGATTTTCAACCAATCAGAGGCTGCGTTTCTGTGTCGTCGACCAGTCAGAGGCTGTGTTCCTGAGTTGCCCACCAAACAGAGGCTGTGTTCCTTATTTTAACAATTATACCTTTTTCAACCATCAATTTAGCAATATTGGTTTTTAAATCAATCATATAGAATTCCAAGCACCACAGAAGAGCTCGTCCTCACAGTCGTGTGTAAAGGCTGAGGCCATATTTTGAAGATAAAAACATGTTTTTCTGCAATTTCAACACAATAATCTATACATGACTATGAAATATATAAATTAAATGACATAAAGAAAATAAATGCCAAATAAATATAATAAAATATATAATGAAAGTTGTCCCCAGGAGTCGTGTCACTGGTGTTACTGCGTAACAAAAAATCTCTTATTTTGAAATAAAAATCTCACTGATGACATCACTCGACTTCCTTTTACCTGTTTTCTGAGGATCTATGAAGAAAAGCACATGGTGAGTCCACTGTGTCTTTCAGTTATCAGAGATTTTCTCATTGAGCTCATGATTTCATATGAAGCTTTTAGCTGAAGTCACTGGTGTGACCGACTTTATTCTGAGGTAACTGTGAAAAAATAGAATACAAATGGATTAAATTCCATATTTTAGTGGATATTCCATGATTGACAACATGTGGTTTGATGCTCTGTAGCAGCCATTCTGTAAAATGCATTGTTCATTAAAATGTCTCTGGTGTTCCTTTATTATGTGGAACACCAATGAGGATCAGTAACACCAGTGACTCCTATGGAGAGACAGAAAAGTGGACGTTTCTGTAGAATGACCCAGGGGGACATTATTTAATATCACTGTACGTATAAATAGATGACAAAGTTCTTCTTGTCTCTTCACAACTTCCAAAAGCTGCTGAGTTGTTTTATTCCTCTCTTTTAAAACTCTTTTCTGTCTGAGCTCCACTCAGTGTGCCATGTCACCCTTTAGTCCTGCGGCCAGAGTTTTCCGTCTCAGTGCCAGCGCAGCCTGGCACGGCCGGAGCTCCTCGCGCCTGCCCGCTCTGGCCCGGGCACAGCGGGCACCAGGCTGGGCCCAGGGGTCTGTGGCCGTGCCAGGCACTGAGCCCCTACAGCAGCTGGGGAGGAGAATCTCTGCCATGCGGCAGGGAAAGCGTGAGAGGAACAGCGCTAATCATCATGCTAGCATGCTAGCGTGGCCTCAGCCATGAACCCACAGCCTCTGATGTGATTAGAGAAAAACACGAGTGAATCCTGCTCTTTGTGCGATGTCCATAGATAAGACATCTTCATCTATATGAGGAGGAAAGAGTGTTTACACAATATCATAAAACGGATAGTCACGGTCCTAAAATCTGATTGGCTGAGCTGCGTTTGAAGCCGTTGTAAAATCCACGATATACACTCACCAATGACGGCCTCACAGTGACTGAATTGTCTATTAATATGCCACAACACAAAAAAAAACGCTTGTGCTGTTAGTGGATAATCTTTGACTCTCATGCTGCTCACATGGAGCACCGAGTGTACTGAAGTCAGAACCCTTTATTGTTTAAATTGAGAGGCTGACAACTTATGTTCTTAACTAAAACCAGGCTGGTCAGCGAGCTAACAGGCTAAAAGAGCCAACAGCCTAAACAGCTCCATCATTAATATCACAGACTTGAATTAAAGCACTTACAGTCTGATTTACTGTAAAACTGCAGTATAAAAGTCTAAAAATGTCACTTGAATGTTTTACACACTTCAGATGTTCGTGATTCAGTCAGAAGTCGCGTCAAACCCAGACTGAACCCCAAACGGCTCTGTACTCCCTAAACAGTGTTCTAGCTATGAAAGGTTAGAAATTCTAGCCTCTACAGCCAAACAGTGCCTCATGTATCGAGTGTGGATGAGTCTGAGTCCCAAATGACTGTTTATTAGCTGTATTTTGCTCTGTTGGGCTGCAGGATCCAGTATTTAAACTCCGACGTAGTGCACTATGTAGGGAGCAGGGAGCTGTTTGAGATTCAGCCCCAGTGTGAGAAGAGGGGCCGCTGGATTGGTGCTAAATAAGACTCACGGTGGTGATTTGGTGACCAGAAAGTACTTATAAAGTAAAAGTTTTTGCATTAAACAGTGCTGTGATATCATGACAAAACGTTTAAAAATTCATGAAATAACCGCAGTGAACAGTGATAGGCGAAACTACATTTCTTGGCGGAATACTTGTTTGTGTCGCTTATTATTATTAATTACTTAAATTATTTTCTGAAAAATTGTGTATTTTATCATATTTTATCTTGACTGCCGTTTTATAAAAGCAACAAGCCTCTTGAGGCCGTGCGTTACAGTGATTTTATCACAGGGAAGGGAGTTTCTGTTTCAGGTGGTGCCTAAAAACACCCTTCCCCGTGATACAATCACAGTATTGCACGGCCTCTCGTGGTTTATTGCTTTAACATAGTAGCTGGAGGGCTAAAACGTCCATATGTGATAGTCAGTAATGTCCACACAGTGCTGGTCAGAAGTCTTAGGCACCTAAGCACATTGTTTAGAACCATTTCTTATGGCACGAAAAGTGTTTTTGCTTGTAAAATCACCAAACATCATTAGAACCGATACAACAAGGGTTCTTTAGTGGAGAAGAAGGTTCTATATACAACCATGAACACTCAAAGAACCCTTTCCATGATTAAAAGGTTCTTCACATCGTGAAAGCGTTCTTCAGATTGATGGAGAATGTGCTGTAGATGGTTCTATATAGTAGTTTTTTGAAATGGGTTCTGTATAGCACCAAACAGGTTCTGCTACTGTAACAAGCTTGATATTGTAACAATAGAGGAATCTTCTTGGTGCTATACAGAACCCTTTTCACAAAGCTTCTGTACAGAACCAGGGTTCTGAAGAACGCTTTCATGCTGTGAAGAACCTTTTAATCGTGCAAAGGGTTCTTTGAAAATGTTTTTCATAGAACCATGAACACTCAAAGAACGCTTTGCACGATTAAAAGGTTCTTTGAGTGTTCATGGTTCTATAAAAAACATTTTCTTTACTAAAGAACCCTTAAAGAACCTATATAATCTATTATAACCATGACTGATGGGGGGATTACATTGAAATTACTGAAAATAATCACTACAATCACAAATTACAGCTATTTTATTAATATATATGCATTTTGGAATAGATTATTTACCATAAACACATACAGAAACTGTCATTGTGTTTTTTATAGGGCCCTTGGCTCATGGGGGCCCAAGCAGCTGCTTACCTTAGTCTAGGGAGAAGACCATTCCCGTCCAAAATGGTCATTTTATTGAGGACGAAAACGTTTTTAACTTTTAATGGAAGTTAATATAAGAGGTTTTATTCCAGGCAGCTTTGGAGCACTTTTAGTGGCCCATTCATCATCAAATGTCCACACAATGTGAAGGACAGCTGCTGAACTCAAACGATGCAGGAAAAGAAAAATATTAAATTATATTTTTAGTGTTTAAAGCCTCCTTAACACAGCGATGTTTAGTTTATGGATGGCATAATGGCTTTTTTCTATAAGAAGTGCACAGCAAATGTTGATCTAAGCAGACGACTGACATTGGCAGCATCTAAAACTCTCCAACTCTGGCTAAGCGAGCAAGAAAGTGCAGCTCATTTTAATTTTCTTGGAGGAACGCCCCTCAGAAATCTAATCTGGAAGGTTAGCGCCTCCATGCTGAGGCACTAACCTTCGCTGTCTACATTCAGGCTGGACGTGTACGTTATTTTGCGCTGGACTCACCTCTGTTGTCCTTCAGGGAGAAGTTGAGGTTGTTTGCCACCTTCGGGGCGAGGCTGAAGTGGAAGTGCTGGCGGTGGGCCATTTCATCCTTATCCACTGCACTCACCGTCTTTATGATCTGGGGAAGTGATCGGACCACGTCAGGTCAGAGGAAGTACATTTAAACTGCATTCGAACATTTAAAAGTTCGTATTTTTATTTATTTCCACTTATAAAATAACATTTGTGTGTTTTTTTGCGCCATAAAATGAACGAGGAATGTTTTTTTAAAATTCTTTAGTTTTTAAACAGGCTGAAACATGTAAACGAGATTTGTCCTGATTGGCTGCCCCGTACTGGGCCTCAAAAAGCAGCCCGGGCTGAAACACTCCTTATAACTTCAGTGTGAAGGGGCGGGGCTTAACTGCTGTTGGTGTAAATGTGCACAAAGGCATGCAAACGTTTGAACATTTCCAGTCAAACAGCAGGTTTTGTTGATTTTCTAAGCGAAAATTTGACCAGAGAAGCCCAAACAACCGTTAACAAGCTGGTTTTAGTGACATCACAAAAACAGTGATTTGAAAACAGGCTAAGGTTTGAAACTTTAACCAAGTTTACTTACTGCATCAAACTCTTTTATTTAAAAAAAAAATGAGTTAATAAAGTTTTTACACATTTATGGTCCTTAACTTCTTTAATTCCGTGGGACCACCGATGGTTCCAAAACACACTTCGTCATATTCTTTACTTCATAACTTTCATATTTTATAAGCTTCATTCTAAAGGTGGGGGTCGTATGAGAGCTGTAACTGTCTTCTTTCCAGTCAAATAGATGGGTGATGTAATTTTAAACCCTTATAATAAAAGAAGCTGAACTCACAATTGTTTTTTCTACTGAAAGTCGACCCATTTTTCCACAAATCTGGGCTATAAACTATAAACAGACGGCGTCTCTTCAGTGATCTGCTCTGTAAAACATTATTTTTATAAAAAAATACAAAGAGCGTCTACGATTTTTGGCTTTCAGCAGTAAACTGTAAGCATGTAGCAATATGTGTGATCATAAAACACATGTTCTGTTAATTTGAGGGAAACTGTTACAAAAAAAAAAAAACAGAAACAAAAACGTACAGTTATTTCATGCAGTTACTGAGTAATTTGCCTTTGGTCATGTAAATTCAGATGGACAAACCGAAATATACCTACGAGCATAAGAGGTAATCACTCTCAAATACAGCACAGGCAGCAGCCTAAAGCGAAAACTGGCTTAACTTGCAAGAAAGTGTGATGAAACAACGACCCAGAAGCACAGAATAAATTTACATCTACATCCTGAAAGATTTGGAGAAGTTTTGCTTTCTTTTAGAAGTGTTACTTTTCCACAGTAGAAGTGTGAACAAAAATAACTTCATTATTTCCGCTACAGAAGGAGAGTGAGGTGGAATATTTTTGTCCTACACACGACGCGACTTCATTTTTTTGCTTGTTTGTTTATTTATTTATTCTGCAGCTTTTATTCAGTGAACTGCCACCTTGCGTGTTTGTACTCAGGGATAGGATGTAAAGGTAAACAGGCTTACAGTGCCGGGGGTGACGTTTTCACACATTAGCACTTCCTCCTGAGTGGCGAACTCCGGCGCGTTGTCGTTTACGTCTTTCACTTTGATGTTGACGCGCACCTTTGCATCTTGGTGATGTCCGCCTGAAACGAGACAACAGAAATCAAAGGAGAGCCACAAACACAGCTGGGATACGAGTGGCGTAAATATATGACGAGTTTTTCCTTAACTTTTCTCCATTAACAACTTTTTTACTGTTTTTTTCATCATAGTAACACACACACACCTACACACACACATACACACCGGTTTTGGTAGATTTGTGAGGACTTCCATTGACTTCTGTATTAGTTTAGCAGAGCAACATTAACTTTAATCTCAGTAACCAAATGACATTTTTTCCAAAAAAGTGACATTTGTGGTGAAATAAGTTATTTGTTTATTTATTTATTTACTTATTTATTGTGAGAACCAGCAAAACATCCTCACTTTTGCAAAACAATCATGTTTTGCTATCATCGAGTGACAGAGCACATCACTGGCTGTCTATATATATTTCACTGTTGTCGGAAGAAAAACCTCGTATCTCCAAAATGGTAACCTTACAGAAAACACAAAAAACCTACTTTACTTTAATGTAAGTCAATGGAACGAGACTTTTTTCAAAGTCATTTGGGGTCGTTTCCTTTAGTCCATTCATCATGAAATTTACACACAATGTAAAGGGCAACAGACATTTTCAAATTATGTCAAAAACTGAAAAATGGCAAACATGAAGATATGATTGTGTGTATATATATATATATATATATATATATATATATATATGTGTGTGTGTGTGTGTGTGTGTATAATGCTAAACTCACAGAGTTTTAGGGGCTAATATATTTATCTATTGTTAACTCTTTTTCCCCCACAGTAATATCACCCATAAACCCTATAAGAATAGATACAGAAATAACATGTATTTCTAAGAGGGGGTGATGTCAGACATAGCTGAAGGAGGTGGGGGTCCTGAGGGGGTGGAGGAGCAGCAGATTTCAGGACTGTTTAATTGCTAACTGCTAAAAATAATTAAAATCAAAAGCATTTACTTAGTAATAAATTAAACAGTTTGAGGATGGTAAAGTGGGCTTGTTTTGTCTTATTTCCACTTAGAAAGTTAGTTAAATTAGTGGCGCATCCATCAACATCAACATGTCCTGAAATAATGAAATAATCTTGAACCTAATCAGTAAATCTATTTCTCATTCTGAGACGGCTGTAAGAACATTATAAGATTACTGAACTACATCTAGACTTTTAAGTAAAATTGTTCAAGATTCAAGAGTTTTATTATCATATGTACATCAGAAACAGGCAGTTACACTATACAATGAAATTCTTACTTTACTGTTCCTCCATTCACCAAATATACTCTTAGAAAAAAAATAGAAATATATAAAAAATATCTATGTTAAATACACAGAATAAGTAGAAATACACTAAAAACAATCGTAAAAAAGTAAAAACAGTACAGTTATATGTGCAAAGTTGAAAGAAAAATTAAAGTTCGTGTGCGTATGTGCAAGTATTATCTCACTATGTTGGCAGATGATTTTGGTTGTTCTAATATGATATATCTGCCAAAATAGTGATAATTTGGTACAGAGTAATGCAGAGATTAAGAAATCTGTAGTGAGATTTTTGAAATTAGAAGTAATAAGTAACATATTTCCATTGCAGTTTGAGAGAAATGATTACTAACTTGTAATGAATTACTTTTTTGAGTAATTACTCAACACTGTAGCTTTCTATACTAACACTGGGCCTCATTCATCAACCATTCTTAAGAAGAAATTTCGGTAACACTTTCTATGGATGTCACCTTTGTAAGCATCTATAAACACATTTATAACATGTTATAATGTATTCATAAGGCATTATAAACATGGTTATAAATATTTATAAAAAGAATTACACTGAATTACACTTTATAGCCATGTTTATTATACATTATGAATTGTTAATATAATGCATTATAAGTAGTGTTGATAACATGTTGTAATGTCAGTGCCAAAGAAGTCAGTCCCAGCTTGGAGAGCGTAAAGTAAAGACAAATGCCAAGCTAACGGTGGTGAACATTACCTTTCCCACATTGGGTAAAACACTGATGGCAGCTCTAGTTTAAACTCTGACATTTGAAGCCTGTAATGTGCTTTATTGTGAATGTTTTAGTGTTTCAGTAAATCCTTCAGTAAATACTTCAACTTGAAGCCTCACTCTGAACACTGGAGGAGGCTTTAGTACAGTACGCTTCACTTTACTTAGAGCGGACAAATACCACTTATGAGCTCTTATAATTTGTTATGATCAGTACTTATAATGTATTATGTTAACAATTCATAATGCATAATAAGCATGGCTATAATGTATAATGCATTTTTATAAATATTTATAGCTATGTTTATAATGCCTTATGAATGCATTATAACATGTTATGAATGTGTTTTTAGATGCTTACAAAGGTGACATTCATAGAAAGTGTTATCGAAATTTCATCTTAAAACCCATTTACACACTGACATTCACCAGTGTTTTCTTATTTGGGATTTGTTTTTAGGTAAGAACAGAATCTACACACTCAAGAGCACCCAGGTGTGGGAGGTGGGGGTCCTGATGGGGTGGAGGAGGAGCAGATTTCAGGACTTTTTAAGCGCTAACTGCTATTAATAATTAAAAACAAAAGCATTTAAAATTTAAAAATAAATTAAACAATTCGAGCACAATAAAGTGGGCTTGATTTTATATACACTTGTCAATAAAACATGTAATAAGACCAGTGGGGTCCAAACTTTTGCATACTGCTGTTTATGCTGCTTAAAATTTTAGGGGGGCAGTTACATTTAAACATATGCAGACTCTGTAATATAGAACACAGTGGGGGGTACAAAACTGTCAATTAAAAGTAAAAAGTAAAAGGGGGCGGGGCTTGTTTCCTGTGTTTAAGCAAGTTAAAACTATGCCTTTGAGAACTGAAGAAAGTCAAAACGTCGTCTAGGCTGGAGACGGAGCTACAAAAGGAGGCTTTTCATTTCTAAGCCCAGTATGAGCCCCGCTGTCTTTATCAAGGCGTGGAACGCAACGATATCATGTTTCCAGAGAAAAGCACAATCCGTTTTACAAAAGAGGCCATTTGATTCGCCGAAACTTGAGACATGAATTTTAGATGCGTCAAATTATCACAGAGGACAGAAGAGAACAAGAGGAACGTCTCAGACACACAAAAAAAATCAGAAAATCAGAAAGTCTGGATGCTAATGCGGCCCGCTCCCGCGGAGAATTGGGCGCTTGAGAAAGTAAATATAGTTTCTTTTTTTTTTTGAGGCGAGCTGCATTACCGGCTCAGAACTAAGGGAATGATTTGGCGGTTTGAAGAGGCAATCTGTGGACGTCTACCCTGAAATCATGCTCGGGCCCAGAGACGCCTTGACCACACGAGAGCGGGCGGAGCGAGGGATTGGGCCGCTTGGGAAGGGAAAGAATGAAAGGAACTCGGAGCTACTCTGTCATTAAGAAACCCCGAAGAAAGAAGAAAAAGTCCTACCGATCTCCGTAGCGCTGACGGAGATGTTGTGCCAAGCCTGACTTTCGCGGTCCAGAGGCCTTGTGGTCTTTATAGTGCCGTCCTCGGGGCTGATGGTGAAGAACTCCTCCAAGTCTGTGTAGCGAGGGATTAAATATCTACCAAAGAAAGAGAGCAGAGAAGAGATGAGCTCAGTTTAAGCCATAATTTGGCATAATTTTCCTCTCTTATGCCAGACGTATAATCAACCAAGGCATGTTTGGTGTCTGAAATTTGCTTCTTTAGAGCTACAGTGCTAATGTAAGTAACAGAAGCTAATAAAGACCAGCTAGAACCATGTTAACCACAAACGCTCAATTATCAATTATCAATCAGCTATAAACTCTTTAAGTTGTTAATTAATTTTAAATACACTAACACTGTGTGACACACTGTTATCCGCAAAAATGGCCAAATGTATGTTAACATATACTCATAAGAAAGATGGTTCTTCAAGGGTTCTAGTAAAGAAAATTGTTCGGTAACACTTTCTATGAATGTCACGTTTGTAAGCATCTATAAACACATTTATAACATATAATGCCTTCATATGGAATTATAAACATGATTATAAACATTTATAAAAATGAATTACACTTTATAGCCATGTTTATTATATATTATGAATTGTTAATATAATGTATTATAAATAGTGTTAATAACATGTTATAATGTCAGTGCCAAAGAAGTCAGTCCCAGCTTGGAGAGCGTAAAGTAAAGACAAATACCAAGCTAACGGTGGTGAACATTACCTTTCCCACATTGGGTAAAACACTGATGGCAGCTCTAGTTTAAACTCTGACATTTGAAGCCTGTAATGTGCTTTACTGTGAATGTTTTAGTGTTTCAGTAAATCCTTCAGTAAATACTTCAACTTGAAGCCTCACTCTGAACACTGGAGGAGGCTTTAGTACAGTACGCTTCACTTTACTTAGAGTGGACAAACACGACTTATGAGCTCTTATAATTTGTTATGAACAGTACTTATAATGTATTATGTTAACAATTCATAATGCATAATAAGCATGGCTATAACGTATAATGCATTTTAATAAATATTTATAGTCATGTTTATAATGTCTTATGAATGCATTATAACATGTTATGAATGTGTTTATAGATGCTTACAAAGGTGACATTCATAGAAAGTGTTACCAATTGTTCTATAGAGAACCATGAACACTCAAAGAACCCTCTGCATGATTAAAGGGGTCTTTGTAGCATGAAATGGTTCTTCAGATTGATGAAGAATGTGCTGTGGATGGTTCTATTTAGAACCCTTTTCAAAAAGGAAGATGTTAATAGTGAGTTTGTGCTGCAGTAACAGCCCCTACTCTTCTGCGAAGGCTTCTGCATGTTGGAACATTGCTGTGAGAATTTGATTGAGCATTAGTGAGGTCAGGTACTGATGTTGGATGGTCAGTTCTGGATCACTAACTCATCGCAAAGGTATTGGATGGAGCTCCATCACTCCAGAGAACACAGTTCCACTGCTCCACAGCCCAATGCTGGGGGGCTTTATGCCCCTCTAGCCCACACTTTGTATTGGATATGGTGACCTTAGCTTTTCCTCAGCTGTCTACATACTTTTGGACATATAGTATATATTGTAAGCTGTATAGCACATCATATATAATAATACAGCTGCAGTATGGTATTTTCTCCAGTGCTCTTACCTGATGGGGTTGTTGGCGATGTCCGTGTCCCTGGCATGAACGCGGCCCACCAGTGTCCCCCCTGGAGCATTCTCCTCTACCTCAAAGGTGTAGCTGGAGGCCATGAAGCTCGGCGGCTCGTCTGCGTCCTCCACAGCGATCTTCACTATCGTGGTGTCTTTGTACGGCCCCCAGCTGATGAAGCGCGGGTCGACGTACGGATTAGTGGCCTCGACCTTCAGCGTGTACGAGCGCTTGGTTTCAAAGTCCACAGGCTGTAAAGTAACACAAATCACGAGTCACAAAGCGTTTCCAGTCATCCGTTTTTGCCCTTTGATGCAATCAATCACAATGCCATCTTGATGTAATTACTGATGGATTATTGTTTATGTGTGGAAACGTGTCAAACATGTCAATGGGTCAGACCGGAGCCGCCGCCGAATTACAGGCTCTCAGGATATGAACTGTAAACAGTGCTGGCCTCATGAATAAAAAGATTAGCAATTAATCAATGCTGAGTACAGTTACTCACACGCACACTGCACATTAATACACAGTCAGAACCCTGTTTACCTAGACAGAGGATAGAGGGCGCTGTTGTAAAAGATACGGGAGCTGAAGCTGGATACATATACATGGGATCATTACACTGAACAGAGCTACAAAGAAGAAGAACAAGAATAGGAAAAGAAGAAGAAAAAAAAGAAAGAAGAGAAAGAGGAAGAATAAGAAGAACAAGAAGAGGAAGAACAGGTGAAGAAGAAGAAGAAGAAGAAGAAGAAGAAGAAGAAGAAGCAGAAGAAGAAAAAGAGAAGAATAAGCATAATATTAATAAGAAAGAACAGTAGAAGAATGAGAAAAAAGTATGAGAAGAAGAAGAGAAAAAGAAGAAAAAATAAGAAATAATAATAATAATAATAATAATAAGAAGAAGAAGAAGAAGAAGAAGAAGAAATATGAGAAGAAAGAGAATGAGAAAAAGAGAAGGAGAAGAAGAAAAAGAAAGAAAAGAAGAAAAAGAAGGAAAGGAAGAAGAAGAAGAGGAAGAAGAATGGAGGGATAACAGAGAAAGAAGAAGAAAAATAAGAAAAAGAAGGAGAGGAAGAAGAAGAAGAGGAAGAACAGAGGAAGAACAGACAAAGAAGAAAAAGAAGAAGAAGAAGAAGGAGAAGAAGAAGAAGAAGAGGAAGAACAGAGGAATAAGACAAAGAAGAAAAAGAAAAAGAAGAAGAGGAAGAATGGAGGGATAACAGAGAAGGAAGAAGAAAAATAAGAAAAAGCAGGAGATGAAGAAGATGATGATGTTGTTGATGATGATGATGATGAAGAAGAAGAAAAGGAAGAAGAAGAAGAGGAAGAATGGAGGGGTAACAGAAAAAGAAGAAGAAAAATAAGAAAAAGAAGGAGAGGAAGAAGACGAAGAGGAAGAACAGAGGAATAACAGACAAAGAAGAAGAAGGAGAAGAAAAAGAAGAAAAAGAAGAAGAAAAAGAAGGAGATGAAGAAGAAGAGGAAGAAAGAAGAAGAAGAAGAAAAAATCAGAAAAATAATAAGAAGAGGAAGAACAGAGGAATAACAGACAAAGAAGAAGGAGAGGAAGACGATGTTGATGATGATGAAGAAAAGGAGAATGATGTTGATGATGATGATGATGATGATGAAGATGAAGATGATGGTGATGAAGATGATGATGATGATGATGATGAGGAAGATAAAAGCCTATAAACTAATCCAAACACACAGACTGACCATACAGGAATATTTACTGTCTTCTGTCAACACAGTTTGATCTATAAAGGTCTGGAATACGTTTCCAATATATCACATTATCATATGTAATCAATCTGTTCCATAACGTTAATATACTGGAAGGTATTTCTAATATATTATATGTTATATAGACCGAATATTTTGTAATATGTTTTCAATGCATTTCAGAATGTAAACATACATGCCCACGTTTGTTTTTATACCTCGTCAGGACGTGAGGTCATACGTCCCATACGCGCTATATAAATATATCATATATATGAGTATCTGTGTTTAATAATGCTGTGCCGTGCTGTGCGTGTAAGCGTCTCTACACAATAACAGGTATAAGAGACGTGCGGCTGCCCTGACTCTGCACTGATCAGTGTGAAGTTATTTTCTTCTCATCTTCATTTTCTTTTTTCCTCTTTTCTGTTTATTGATTTATTTATTTATTAATGTATTTCTTCTTTGTTGAATCTCTTTAATGAAGCTGCCAGTGTTGGAATCAGCCATGACCCATTTCTCTCCTCCAACAGGTTAGAACCTCCTCACAGCACGCAGAGGTCTCTCTCTCTCTCTCTCTCTCTCTCTCTCTCTCTCTCTCTCTCATTTTCCTGCCTTCTCTTTTTTCTTACCTGGTTATTTTTTCTTTCTTTTCAATTCCTCCCTTTCTTTCTTTCTTTCTTTCTTTCTTTCTTTCTTTCTTTCTCTCTCTCTCTCTCTCTCTCTCTCTCTCTCTCTCTCTCTCTTTCTCTCCTTCCTCTTTTCCCCATTCTATTTTCCTAACTCTTTTTCTCTCTCTTTTCTCTCTCTCATTTTCCTGCCTTTTCCTGCTCTTTTTTCTTACTTGCTTTTTTTTCTTTCTTTTCAATTCCTCCCTTTCTTTCTTTCTTTATTTCTTTCTTTCTTTCTTTCACTCTTATTTCTCTCTCTTCCTCTCTCTCTCTTTCATCTCTCCTTCTCTCACATCTTTCTCTCTCTCTCTCCCCCTCTCTTTCTCCCCCCATCTCACATCTTTGCCTCTCTCTTTCTCTCTCTGTGTTTTTCCCTTTGCTTTTTTCTCACCTGTTTTGTCTTTCTTTTCTCTCTCTCTTTGTCATTTCTATTCCTCCCTCTCTTTCTTTCTTTTTTCTCTGTCACTATCTTACTTTTTCTCTCTTTCTTTGCTCTCTATCTGCATTTTCTGCTTCAATCTAATTTCTCTCTTTCTCTCTCTCTGTCTTATGTATTTCTCATGTCTTTCCCTGTCTCTCTCTTTTTCACATCTCCCTCTCTCAAATCTTTGTCTCTCTCTGTCTCTCTCTGTCTCACTCTCTCTCTCTCTCTCTCTCTCTCTCTCTCTCTCTCTCTCTCTTTCTCTCTCTCTCCAATCCTTTATTTTGGCACCTAATAACTTGCCGGCTGAACCTAATCAGCTGCAGATAATATTCACAATAACGCTGGGCCTCTCCTTAATATTCAGCGCGCGCCGTCTGCCCGCAGTTGAAACAGAATAGTTGATTAAAACTGCGGCAATTCCGTCAGTAATTTCGACTTTAATTTTCAACATGCTTTGAAGAGCAAAAGGTGATGATTTCCCGAGAGGTGTATCAGCGAGGCATTATGTTATTGAGCGAAGCAGCGGCGCATCAAACTGATTGTTTGGCGGTTGGAAAAAAAGGCCCATTGTCTGATTCTCCAGAAAAAAAAATAAATAAAAAAATAAAAACCCTCGCTGGCCTCGGCCTGGACAGGCTGAGCACACCACAGTGCACTGGTGGGACGATGGCATGATGAGTTTACACAAATGATGCTCAGCTCCATCTAAACCAGGAGTCACCAACATGCGGCTCTTTTACTGCCCTGTTGTGGCTCCACAGCTGAATTAGGTTTGTAGATGAAAATAAAATAATCCTCCTTTCCAGTAAAATAAAGCTCTGCTGATCGTTCAACACAGTTTAACAATAAATGGTCTTAAACTCTGGAGTTAATGTAGAACTGCTGATTCACCCTTTAACCCTGAAGATCAGCGCAGACTGCTGGTCACCATAGCAACACAGACAACAATCTCGCCTAGCTAGTAGCTAACAAAACGGCAAAGAGAGGGATTTAAGATGAACATCGATAATTTAGAGACAAATGGACTTATTTGTGTTTATAATCACTCCAGCTGGTTTCCTGATACGTTTAATCTGCAGTTAGAAACTGACAAACACTAAAAAGTCATGAAGCTGAAGTTTCTCATTCGCCAGCTTCTCATTCAAATTGTCCTGTTCCACCTTAAATGGTGCAGCAGTTACATTCTGGCGCCTCAGGCACCGTTTAAGGTGGAACGGGAAAATTCGAACAAGAAGCTGGCGAATGAGAAGCGACTTCAGCCTCGTAAAAAGTCAAACATTGAGAGACATTTTATAAAAACCTATTCTATATTTGAGCAAAAGTTTCCTGCTGGAGATGTGAGAAAAGCAGCTATAGCTGAGCTAAAGATTAAAGCAGAGCAAAATAAGTCTGTGTTTTTGTGTATATTATATATTTTAGTGTATACTAGTACATCAGCACACACTGAGACATATTTACAGCCAAGATGGTAAAATGAGCATAAAATGTTGTGGCTCCCAAATTGGTTTGAAAAGGACAAAATGGCTCTTCTTAACGTTTGTGTTGCCGAGCCCTTTGCTAACCCAGCAAAAACTCTAAAAAGCCAATATCAAAGAACAAAACTAATATTGTATCACTTACTAGTCAACAATAAATTGAAAAATTAAAAATATAAAACACTTTCAGAGCAACACTGAAACCAAATACATGCTTGATGAAATGAAGGATTTAAAAAGTTCTAGATGATGTATGGTTATATTTTTCAGGTAAAGTAGCGCAACATTAAAAAAAAAAATAAAAAAAAATAAAGCTGCGGCATGAAGTATGAGTTTATTGGCTGGTTGTAACGCAGAAATCTGATTATTGTCTGACTCATGTAGACCTGGAGTTTCCCCATTATCTGATTACTCAAGAGCATGTAAACACATTCATTGTATCTTTAGGGGTTCCTCCGGCTATACACAGGTTATATATAGCCAGATGAATTTGTACTATATGGATGATTCTGCTGAATTGGTTCAAAGTCAAAGCTGAACACACATTTGAACTTTGGCTTTAGACTAAAATCCTGATTGTGGGTATATGTAGCCTTGCTAACAGTACATACCCTCACTTTTCTCACAAGATTGCGCAATCAAAAGCTATTTCTTGGCCTCTTCTGGCTGCAGTTTTTGGGAAAACTATAAAACATCCCCACAATCACAAAATATTCACATTTTTATCATCACTGTGCCTCACGAGGAGCCAAATACACACACACACACACACACACACACACACACTGTCCCCTGACATTTCTCCTGAGTGTTGAGCCATTATTTCCTCACGCTTCAATTTTTCACCTTCCTCACAGCGCCGATTCCATTATCCAGAACTCGTAGCGGTTATGATCATTGTTGTGTCTGTGTGTTATGGTAATGACGGAGGAAGGAGAGCCATGCAGGCCCGTCTGATCCCACTCAGGCTCCGACAAGCGGAAAGACACACCGGTTACGCCGTCATTTACAGCATTTCAACCAGCATCATCCTGACAGGCCCCTCGCTAACAAACAGGAACGCCAGTAATCATGCTGGGTTCTCTTGGACGGACGCGGACGTCACGCTGCTGAGGGACCAAATTACCTGTCACATTTAAATGCTGAGCTACACCTTATTTATTTATTTATTTATTTACTTACTTGTTTATTTCATATATATATATATATATATATATAGAGAGAGAGAGAGAGAGAGAGAGAGAGAGGAGGGAAGAAATTTGTTGCCACAAGTTAGTTTGTGAAATTTCTTCCCTCCTAGATATTCACGATCAGCTGTGAGTGTATTATTGAAGAGTGGAAGTGTTTAGGAACCACAGCAACTCAGACAGGAAGTGTTAGACCATGTAAAGTTACAGAGCGGGTGTCCGAGTGCTGAGGAGCATAAAGCATAAAAGTCTCCAACGCTCTGCTGATCAATAACTGCAGAGTTCAAACCTCCTCTGGCATCAACATCAGCACAGAAACTGAGCAGGAGCTTCATGGCAGGGTTTCCATGGCTGAGCAGCTGCACACAGCCTAACATCACCAAGCACAATGCCGAGCGTCGGATGGAGTGGAGTAAAGCGCGGCCGCTGGACTCTGGAGCAGCGGAAACGTATTCTGTGGAGTGACCAATCACACTTCTCTACCTGTCAGTCTGATGGACGAGTCTGGGTTTGGCGAATGCTAGGAGAACGTTACCTGCCTGACTGCACTGTGCCAGCTGTAAAGTTTGGTGGAGGAGGGATGATGATATGGGGCTGTTTTTCAGGGGTTGATCTAGAACCCTTAGGTCCAGTAATAACAATACCAAGGTGTTTCTAATAAAATGGCCAGTTAGTGTTCGTACAAGGTAGGTGTTTCTAATAAAGTGGCCAGTGAGTGGAAGTACAAGATGGGTGCTTCTAATAAACCGGCCAGTTAGTCGAAGTACAAGGTAGGTGTTTCTAATAAACTGGACAATTAGTGGACGTACAAGGTAGGTGTGGTAACTTGCTTTAGATTATCGCTTTACTGCATCACAATTTATTTGAGTAAATCTCATGAGGTTTGTAGTCTGTTATGCTCTTCGAGTGTCACGTGTTGCTCTAGCCCTTCATCAGTGGTCAGTTTCTGACCACAGAGCTGGATATTTTTGGGTGCTGGACGACTCTCAACCCAGCACCTCCCACACTGCCATGTCATTACCATGAAGACAGCATGTAATTTAACCTCGGTAGGCCTGAGCTGTATTTGTTTACAGAGCCCTGGGCTCCTAGGGGCCCTCAGTGGTTCTGATAAATGTGTACAGTCCAGCAGGGGGCAGTGTTGAGGCCAAATGTGAAGCCTGGGAGGCACTGGGATGATTTCTGGCTCAGAAGAAGCAGCACTGGCTGACCTGACGATGATGTGTAACTGGCTGCATAATCCAGCGCCCCACAGCAGGCCGAGAGAGAGAGAGAGGAGAGAGAGAGAGAGAGAGAGAGAGAGAGAGAGACCATGAAAGTCAAAACTCATCCCAGACATAATAATACAGCAGAGCGAGTCACTGCAATCACACAGTGGAACGGGGAGAAAATCTCTATAAGATCCCTACTGAGCATCTCTCTCTCTCTCTCTCTCTCTCTCTCTCTCTCTCTCTCTCTCTCCTTTTTTTCCTTTGCTGCGTCGCTCTCTCCCTCTTTTCTCATTTACTCTTTCCTTTGTTATGTCTCTCTCTCTTTTTCCTCTTTCTCTCTCTCTCTCTCTTCTTCTTTGCTCACTTTCTCTCTTTCCTTTGCTGTGGATAATTCTCTCTCTCTCGCTCTCTCTCTCCCTCTGTCCATCTCTCTTTTTCCTTTGCTGTGGCACTCTCTCCTTTCTCCTTTTCTCTTTCACCCAGTCTCTGTCCTCTTTTACTCTTTCCTTTGTTATCTCTCTGTATCTCTCTTCTTTTTGTTCTTCGCTCACTTTCTGTCTTACCTTTCCTTTGGACTATTCTCTCTCTCTCTCTCTCTCTCTCTCTCTCTCTCTCTCTCTCTCTCTCCATCTCGTTTTCCTTTGCTGTGTCACTCTCTCCTCCTTTTGTCTTGCACTCAGCCTCTTTCTTGCTCCTTTGCTCATTTATTCTTTCCTTTCTCTCTCTCTCTGTCTTCTTTTTCTTTTTTGTTTCTCTTTGCTCACTTTCTCTCTCCTTTTCTTTCCTTTTTCCTTTGCTGTGGATTCTCTCCCCCCCCTATCTCTGTCTCTCTTTCTCTCCCTCTCTCCACACTCTCACCTGTACACAAACAAATTCTGTAAACAAACAAACACAAATACAAACAGCCGTCCAAGAGAGACAATTTCAGAGGAATACAAACACACAGTTGCTCAATATTAACCTTTCATAGACAAACACAGTACAGACCCCCTTCCTGTCTCTCTCTCTCTCTCTCTCTCTCTCTCTCTCTCTCTCTCTGGGTCAGATCCTGCTGAGAGCCACAGTTCCTGCTCATGTTTTATTGACATATTTCACAGTAACACACTGATTGTCATGTGTTCTGTTTTTTAGCATAATGTGAGTATTTACAGTATTTAAATCATTGGAAAATCCACTCATATCCCTTTTCCTTTAATATAATTTCTAATTTGATTTTCCCTTTTAAATCTATTGTTTTAATCATGTTTTTATTTCTATTCTTGTTTACTGTTTTTTTAAACAACTCTGTATTTTCTCATTTGTAAAGAATGACAGCAGCTTATGAAAGGTGCTATATAAACAAAGTTACCTCACCTTTCCTTTAGCCATGCTACTTTCACTAGCACTGTGGGCTTCATTAGCTAGCTAGCATGCCCTTTCGGTGTGTAGCTGATGACTGGTCTCGGTCAGGGGTCCGGCATTGCGGCCTTGACCCTCTCAAATTAAAGGCAGCACACAGAAATGTTACGAGGCCTTACAGTACAGGATGAGCCCAAAGCACCGCCCTTTTTTCCACCATAAACAAATAAAAGACCGCTGGAGCTCCTTTTTGATCATAGCCGATCTTCAGCAGCCACTATCCCTGTGAAATGTTTATACGGCTGCATGCTGGCATTGGTCAGTTCTGAGCCAATAAAGGCACATAATAAAGCAATAAGGCTCGAAACAGTGTACAAAATACCCCTTGATATCCAGGGGAGTGCCATTCTGGTTGGCTACTCCAGAGTTGGCTGGCTGCTAACTCACTTGCCATAGGTGTGCTAATACTGGCTTCGATGGCAGCAAAATGTTTGTTTTATCAGCTGTTCTTCTGTAGTGTCTCTGTTCTAGTGCGGTTCTGCGCTCTTCCTCACACTAACTGAGATCTTCCTCGTCTCCTCTTCTGTGTTCAGTGTGAGAAATGAGGAACAGTCACTCTTCACTCCAAACTCTTGGGAAACTGGGTGAGTTTTCAGATTTACAGATCTGCTGCAGCTCATTGTAAAGTCTTTCAGAGGAATCCGGGCAGAGTTACAGTTTCTAGGCTATGAAGGACCAACTGGGTGAACCAGTCTGCTACAGCGCCACCCTGAGGAAGCAGAAGCTAATAAACAATGAGCTTCACTGAATCTATACTTGGGCATCTATTTTCCCCAAATGGACAACATAATATCATGATCATTTTTTTTTTTTTTCAGGGACCCCAAGAACTCTGATTTTGAGACATTCAGGGGGTCCAAAAGGTTAATTAGAAAGCCCAAGACCCCCCAGGACCCCCTGTATTTCACACTTTGCACAGAACGATGCTTTTGAAAATCGCCAACACACAGACACAACTTTAGCCTGCTCTAGTGTTTCTGCAAATTGTGGGAATTTGACCTTGTTTCCAGTGCAGGCTACCACGTACATAGCTAGTGAACTAAGAAAGTAGTAAAGTTGACCATGATAAATAACAGAAAGTAGAAAAAAACAAAAAACAAAGAGAAAATTATAGTCTGCAACTATTCACCCCAAATATCTACTGTAAAATGTAGGACTCTGATTAATTAGCCTTTGCCTGCTGGGTATTTATTTATTTATTTATTTATTTATTTATTTATATTTTTAAACCAGGAAAAGTCTCATATTTAAAATATATATGATGCAGCATCGTATGATGTAATTTGTCAGGGAATAGGCAGTTAAATGTGAGGTCAGCATTCATTTGTTGTGTTTAAAAATGTAAAAAATATCATGGTAATGGAGGCTACAGTGTAGTAGTCTAGCTGGTGGCTGTCAGCCTCAGTATAGAGATGGACAGGGAAACTCAGGACCAGGACCGAGAACCACTTCTCTCACTGATTTGATCCGTTTCTCCTCACCTTCTTCAGCTTGATGACGGCCTCCTGGGTCTCAGAGTCTTTGCTGATTTCGAAGTAGTTCATGCCGTCTCCCTCTAGCACTGTATAATCCACCAGCCCGTTCTCGCCCTGGTCCAGGTCTTTGGCCTTCAGACGGCCCACTTCTTCTCCTGGGACCTTATCCTCCGAGACCGACATGGCATACACACCTGCAAGGGACAGAGAGGGTCAGGAAAGGGACGGACTTAATAATCTGGGGGCCCGAAGGAAAGACAGGACCCTTTCACTGAGATTCACACTCCACTACACAAGAATGGGTAGTGCAAAATAATTTTTGCATGGGAAAGTCTACTACAGGCTGAACTGGCAGGGAAGCTGCATTGATAGTATGTCTTTTTAAATATTGATCCACACCAGCCTGAAACCCAACAACGTTCTGTCCGAACCTGACTTCTTTATGAATGCAGCCGTAGCCCAGCTCATCATTTTCTGAACCCAGTTGTAGCCCAAATATATTTTGTCCCAATCAGACAAATAACCAGACAAAATTCTGTCTGAATCCGACCGTAGCTGACAAAATTCTGTCTGAGTCAGATTCTAGCCTGACACAATTCTGTCTGAATCTGACCGTAGCCCAACACAATTCTGTCTGAATCTGACTGTAGCCCAACAAAATTCTGCCTGAATCTGATTATAGCCGATCAACATTGTCTGATTCCAACTGAAGCTGACAAAATTCTGTCTGAACCCAACTTTAGTCGACAAATTACTGTCTGAATCCGACTGTAGCCCAACAAAATTCTGCCTGAATCTGATTGTAGCCGACAAAATTCAGTCTGAACCCAACTGTAGTCGATAAATTACTGTCTGAATCCGACTGTAGCCCAACAAAATTCTGCCTGAATCTGATTGTAGCCGATCAACATTGTCTGATTCCAACTGTAGCCGACAAAATTCTGTCTGAATCTGACCGTAGCCCAACAAAATTCTGTCTGAATCTAACCGTAGCCCAACAAAATTCTGTTGGAATCTGATTGTAGCCGACACATTTCTGTCTGAATCTGACTGTAGCCTGAAAAAATTCTGCCTGAATCTGATTGTATCCGATCAACATTATCTGAATCCAGTTGTTGCCTGACAAAATTCTGTGTGAATCTGACTCGAACCCAACAAAATTCTGTTTGAATCTGACTGTTGCCTGACAAAATTCTGTCTGTATCTGATTCTAGCCTGACAAAATTCTGTGTGAATTCGACTGTAGCCGACATAATTCTGTCTGAATCTGATTGTAGCTGACAAAATTCTGTCTGAATCCAATTATAGCCAACAACTTCTTTTTTCTGAATCCGACTGTAGCCCAACAAAATTCTGTCTGAATCTGACAGTAGTCCAACAAAATTAAGTCTGAATCCAATTGTAGCCGACACAGTTCTGTCTAAATCCGACTGTAGTCAACGGAATAGTCTGCACTCAAGTGTAGCTGAAAAAAATTCGAAGAAGACTGAATAAAACTCTGCATTCTTAATGGTAACACCTGTTTTGCCACCTTAGCAACAGCGACAGCAGATATGAGATCATTGGTAAATGAAATTGAAATTAACAGCCTTTCCATTAAGTCCCATTTTAGCAGGTGTAAATGCAGGCCAATATGTGTTTAAGCGTGTATGTGTGTTGAGTTCTGATAGACTATTTAAAGTTCTAATACCGTACTGAAAATAATCACTGCAGAATCAAAACAACAGCTATTTTGGTATGTTTTTGCATTTTGACTTTGGTTATATAACACCGCTTCACAGATATAACTTCTATTTTTGGGCCTCTTCACTTCTGGAGGTCCTCAGGTAGTTGTCTGGTGTAAAGTTTGGGCTCAGGAGTATTCTCCGAGAGTGTGTGGCCATTCTAACATTGTTAACACTGACCATGAGTCATCCACTGGGCAGGAAAAAGCATCTCTTTAGGCCCACTGAGAGAGGAAGAGCCAATAAGCTCCATCACAGTCTCGGTACCTGCGGAGGCACGGCTCAGCTGCTAGGCACCTGCAAACATGCATACATGTGTGTGTATGTGTGTGTGGACACCTGCCTGAGGCGAGGGCAGAGCAGGAGGACCATATGGGCTCTCCTCACTGACTGCTCAAAGCCAACGGCTTCGGCTGCATTTACAAAAATAACTCCCACACAGGAAAGAAAAGCTGCAGGAGAAAAAAAAGGAAGAGGCTCGGGCATGTAAGGAAGATTCTTCAATCAAAACAGCCAAAAAAAATGAGAGAAAAAAAAGCTGAAACCACACAGCCTTTCCAGCCCGGGGGTCCTGACGCTCGGTCTTTTCTCCAAAGCTAAGCTAATTAAATGAACAGATCTTTAGGAGGACTCCTGCTTCAACCTACAGGCTGAAAATCTGGCACTGTTGAAGAGATTCTCGCTGCGCGCTGGCGCTCGAATTCTGAGAGAATTTAACCCTCAGTGGTCACTGTCATTTCGATATACATTCAGTTTACATTATGTAATCGTTTTGATATAATTACATAACCAATTACAGAGTTACGCAAAGTATCACATTAGCATTTGCTCAGGTCAGAAACTTGCTTCTATTAGTTTCAACGTCAAAAACATAGAAGAGTTAAGAGAGAAAAGATGTCCGTAACACTTTCTATGAATGTCACCTTCGTAAGCATTTATAAAAACATTTATAACATGTTATAATGTATTCATAAGGCATTATAAACATGGTTATAAATATTTATAAAAAAGAATTACACCGAATTACACTTTATAGCCATGTTTATTATACATTATGAATTGTTAATATAATGCATTATAAGTAGTGTTGATAACATGTTATACTGTCAGTGCCAAAGAAGTCAGTCCCAGCTTGGAGAGCGTAAAGTAAAGACAAATACCAAGCTAACGGTGGTGAACATTACCTTTCCCACATTGGGTAAAACACTGATGGCAGCTCTAGTTTAAACTCTGACATTTGAAGCCTGTAATGTGCTTTACTGTGAATGTTTTAGTGTTTCAGTAAATCCTTCAGTAAATACTTCAACTTGAAGCCTCACTCTTAACAATGTTTACCAAAAATAGGCATAATTCAGTTCTACATGACTGTTTTCCGACCTCTCTTTACTCCTTAGAGTTAAACAGACTGTGCCGTTTTAGACTGATATATGTAAATGAGCACTGTTTTGATTGGCTGCTTTATATTGTGCCTAATTCAAAATTCAGTCCAGGCTGAAACACTCCTTTTAACTTCACTATGAAGTGGGAGGGGCTGAATTTGCTGATATATGCAGATGTATATGTTGGCTGTCGTAATACAAAATCAATATATTCTAACAGGCTTAGTTTCCAGTTGAATTTTGAAACTGTGGCATGCTTAAAATATCTGATATGAAATATGCAATTCTATTTGTAATTAAAAATGAAGCCTGTCTGGCTGTGTATCAGTTGTAGAACTCTGAATTAGAGAAAACAGAAAATCAATAAAAAACTTGTCTGCCTTATGCTAATTGTATATCTTTGCTCATAATAACTAATAGAATAAATCACCATCAACTTTTTTGCACTTTCACCTCACAGACACTCCAGACTAACAATTTCTGAAAAGGTATCAGGGATGCAACTTGTTTTCAAGATCTCTATAAGCAAAAAATTACAAAATTTTGCAGGGGTTAGGTAAATTTTTTATTAAAAATTACCCAAATTCATAAAGATACCAAATTTCTGTTAGCATTTAAATGTCAAACAGTGGCATATCTGAGTAGCCCAGGGTCTCCTGAAAATAACTATATATGGCATGTGTGACTGTCTCATGTAAATACTGTATAATTGCAATTGTAATTGTAATTGACCCCAAATAACCAAAAAAAAATAAATAAAAATAATAATAAAAATCTATTCAAGGGTTATAGGTTTAACTGTTTAAAACGCTTTTATTTTAAGAAAGCAATGAAAATACAGTTTTCCATGATCTCCTTAAGCTCCAGGAGCAGCTGTACTGAGCCAGTAATGTGACACGGAAACTCCAAAGCTCCACTCCGGCCAGATCACTGAGCCAGGCAGTTTTCCACATCAGTTCCATTATAGTGGACTGGAGTTTATGGCTGTTATTACAGGTGGCTGGAGGTGTCCAACTACTAAACCAAGACTGCTAAACCAAGGCCTGTTATGCTGCTCATAAAAAGTCGAGGGATTTTCCTAGATTTTCAAAGTGTTTTGAAAATAAATGAGCATGTTTTCTTTGTAAAATTGCAATAACTTGTGGTAATAATTGTGATATATGAATAACCAACTCTAAATATAGGTACTGTGTTATAAACTGAGTCTGTTCTACAGTTTCTCATTAGGCTGAATGAATAACCGACTCTAAATGTAGGTATTGTGATATAAACTGAGTCTGTTCTACAGTTTCTCATTAGGTTAAATTGATAACTGACTCTAAATGTAATTATTATGACTTCACATTTCAAGGCAAACTTTTGATGTCAGTATGTAGTGAAGTGCTGATTGTGGGTAAAAGAACTCGAGGCCTTCACACAAATACAAGCAGCGGCTCGCGGGAGATTTATTGAGGCGATTTCTGCGACAAAAGAAAGATAAAATCTGTGTGCTTAGTGTGCAGTTTGTAGCACAGACAGCTAACGCTAACGCTAACACACACACAAACACAGACGGGTGTGTGTCCCGTTTCTTCTCTCTCGCATTCAAACAAACAGCGTAAATTTTTTATCTGCTCCTTCACACTCGAGAGATGCTGACATCTCGGTGCTCAAGCAGAACGTTTAAAGAACGTCTGAATAATTAAGTTGTGATATTTCGCTGTTAGCATGTGTAGCTCACAGTAGCGGAGTTCCCGCACCGTCCCTGAGGGCGAGTCACTGTTAATATTTGGTGTGAGGAGAAGAGAGAGAGAGAGAGAGAGAGAGAGAGAGAGAGAGAGAGAGGGAGTGAGAGAGGGGGGAAAGAAGGAAGTAGAGAAAGAGACGGGGGGGGTGGGCGGAGAGAGTGAGGAAGAGAAATGACAAGTGAAAGAGAGGGAAAGAGAGAAGGAGAGGGAAAGGAGGGGAGAGGATGAGAGTGAGAGAAAGTAATTGAGAGAGAGAGAGAGAGAGAGAGAGAGAGGAGGACGAGTGAGAAAGAGAGAGACAGGAAAAGAGAGGGAGAGAAAGATAGAAGGGGAGAAAGAAAGAAGGAGAGAGAGAGAGAGAGAGAGAGAAAGAAAGATGACAAGTGAGAGTGAGGAAAAAAGAGAGAAAGAAAAAGGGAGAGAGGGGAAAAGAAAGAAGGAAAGAGCAAGGAGTGGAGAGCAGAGAGAGACTGAGAAGACAGAGATAGAGAGAAAGGGAGAGGGAGGGACAGAGAATGAGGAGGATAAAGGGGGAGAGATAGAAACATAGAAAGGATGTCAGAGAGAAAAAGAGAAAGCGAGAAAGAAGGAAAGAGGAGCCTTTAAATCCCTTTATTTAGACATCATTTAGAAAAGAGGGATGGAAACCAGATACAAGGGATTCAAAGGCAAGAGAGGTAGAGAGAGTGCAGAAAAGAGAAGAGAAAGACAGGAAGCGAGAAGAGGGGAAGAGAAAGAAAGAAAGAAAGAAAGAAAGAAAGAAAGAAAGAAAGAGGAGAGAAAGTAAGACATGTTGATGAAAGTAAATGACACTCACCTTGTGCGAATTTGGGTGGGTTATCGTTGACGTCGGTCAGGGTGATTTTGACCTGTGCAGTCCCGGACAGACCACCCATGTGACCCCCCATGTCCTTCGCCTGGATGACCACATCATACTCCTGCTTCGCTTCTCGGTCCATGTTGGGCAGGGCTGTGCGGATAATCCCTACAGAGACACACAGTACAGAGTTTAGGAGCGAGATCACCTGACTACTCACATGACTTCGCGCTCCTATCAGCGCTCTAGATCTCCAAGACAATCTCGGTAACACTTTCTATGAATGTCACCTTTGAAAGCATCTATAAACACATTCATAACATGTTATAATGCATTCATAACACATTATAAACATAGCTATAAATATTTATAAAAATGCATTATACGTTATAGCCATGTTTATTATGCATTATGAATTGTTAACATAATACATTATAAGTACTGATCATAACAAATTATAAGAGCTCATAAGTGGTATTTGTCCGCTCTAAGTAAAGTGAGGCGTACTGTACTAAAGCCTCCTCCAGTGTTCAGAGTGAGGCTTCAAGTTGAAGTATTTACTGAAGGATTTACTGAAACACTAAAACATTCACAGTAAAGCACATTACAGGCTTCAAATGTCAGAGTTTAAACTAGAGCTGCCATCAGTGTTTTACCCAATGTGGGAAAGGTAATGTTCACCACCGTTAGCTTGGCATTTGTCTTTACTTTACGCTCTCCAAGCTGGGACTGACTTCTTTGGCACTGACATTATAACATGTTATTAACACTATTCATAATGCATTATATTAACAATTCATAATGTATAATAAATATGTCTATAAAGTGTAATCCAGTGTAATTCATTTTTATAAATGTTTATAATCATGTTTATAATGCCGTATGAAGGCATTATAACATGTTATAAATGTGTTCATAGATGCTTACAAACATGACATTCATATAAAGTCTTACCTCTAGATGTCTAGACAAACTAATGTTTGTCACCTGTGTTACTGGTCATGTGACAGTTTAGTTTATAAGCCCGGGCTTTAGCATAGGAGGGTTGCGAGGTATTGTATCCATTTAGCGATCTACTGAGTGGTCATTGCATTGTTTGTATTTTGTGTATGACCTTTGCCTTTCGTTTTTTTTCGACTCTGCCTTTTTGCTCTGCCCTCTTATCATCTGACTCCTGTTTCTTGACCTTTTTGCCTGCATCTTCGACTACGCCTTTGCCTCTCCCTTGGACTGTATGCCCTGCGTTATGTACATCTGTTTGTATTTTCTGTGTCTTTCGGATTTGACCCCTGCACGTTTTGTGATGACTCTGGACTTTGAATCTTTCAGTAAAGCCTCGTTTGTGTTTTACATCCGCGAGCGTCTGAATCTGGTTGGCATGTTACAATCAGTCTGAACGGATCTCCTAAACTGACCCACATGCACAAAAGAACAATGCGTGCTCATATTATAAGATTATTTAACTTATTTCTTGCTATTTCTCCTTGTTTCCAGTGATTTTAGCAAGTAGAATTATCTCACGATATTGGCAGGTCTTGTTCCTTGCTGTAAGAAATGTGCTTAAAACAAGCAAAATTATCTGCCAATACAGTGAAATGATTTTACATAGTAAAATTAATCCAAACTGTCCAGAAATACATCTAATTATCTTATAATAAGATAGATTTAAGATGATTTCACCTCCATTAATAGAGTCCTTGGGCTCAATTCCAAACTCTACATTCGCCTACCAATATAACATGATTATAAAATTATGTCCAATAAGTTGTTAAATAATCTCTAATAGACGTGCTTATGTGGTTTCTGACTATGTATGACTCACTGTCATCAATGCATATTAACGTAAATAAAGGCTTCCTATCGATTGCTACTGATTTTAGCAATGCTAACATACTTTAGTTCATTTTAACAGTGTATCATACAGTGTCAGAAACAGATCTCATCCCTAAACAATGCACACTCTTATTATAAGATTATTTAACTTATTGCTAAACATTTTTCTTACTTTATAGTCATTTTAATAAGATAAATGGTCACACTATATTGGTGGATAATATTGTTTGCTATAAGAAATGTGCTTCAAACAAGCAAAATGATCTGACAACATATTGAGATAATTTTACATACTAAAATTACTCAAAACTGTCTAGAGATAAGTTAAATTATCTTATAAAAAGCTTAGAACAATCACAAAATAAGAACTATTAGATATATTGACTTGATTTATGATAATGTGCCTTTTACAGTAAGTAGAGTCCTTGGGCTAGATTCCAAACTCTACATTCACCTGCCAATATAACATGATTTTTAAGTCTTTTACATTGTTAAATAATCTCTAATAGACTTGCTTATGTGGTTTCTGACTCTGTATGACTCACTGTCATCAATGCATATTAACATAAATAAGGCTTCCTATTGATTGCTACTGATTTTAGCAATGCTAACATACTTTAGTTCATTTTAACAGTGTATCATACAGTGTCAGAATCTCACTCCTAAACTGGCCCACATGTGCAAAAGAACAATGCGCACTCTTACTATGAGATTATTTAACTTATTTCTAGACATTTTTCCTTGTTTTTAGTAACTTTAGTAGAAAAATGATCTCATTATATCGGCAGATCATTTTCCTTGCTGTAAGAAATGTGCTTAAAACAAACAAAATTATCTGCCAATATAATGAGATAATTTTACAAACTAAAATGACTCAAAACTGTCTAGAAATATGTTAAAGTATCTCACAAAAAGCTTACAAGACTCACAAAATGAGAACTATAAGATATGTTGACTAGATTTATGATAATGTTACTTAACAAGAGCTTTGCCTTCTACAGTAAGTACAGTCCTTGGACTCGACCCCAAACTCTACATTCACCTGCCAATATAACATGATTTTAAAATTGTAAGTCCTTTAAGTTGTTTAATATTTCTAATGGACTTGCTTATGTGGTTTCTGTCTCTGTATGACTCACTGTTTTCTATGAATATGAGCATAAATTAAGGCTTCCTATCGATTGCTACTGATTTTAGCAATGCTAACATACTTTAGTCCATTTTAACAGTGTCAGAAACCACACACTGAAACAAATGGTATCTTGTCAAGTAAAATGATCTTTAAAATAGTCAATAAATCTAATATTTCTCCTGTTGAGATTGTTGTAAGCTTTATCTAAGATTATTTACCTTATTACTCGACATTTTTTGCTTGTTTTGAGTCATTTTATGAAGTAAAATTATCTCACTAAATTGGCTGATAATTTTGCTTGTTTTAAGAAATGTGCTTGAAATAGGCAATATCATCAGTCAGTATAGTGAGATAATTTTACTTAATAAAATTACTTAAAACAAGTAAATAATGTCTAGAAATAAGCTAGATAATCTTATAATCACTGCACAACCACATATTACATATTAGATATATTGACCAGATTTAAGATCCTTTCACTTGACAAGATACTATTTTTTGCAGTGCATAGTTTTTGAGAAATTATTGAACAGCTCCACACAGTTTGAGGCGAGTGTGCATGCAGTTAGCACCATGCTAATTAGCCTAGCTACATTAGCCTCCTAGCTCCAGGTAACAAGCAAACCTCTTGGGGAAGGAGTAACTGTCTTTCAGTGAACTATCGCTTTAAGTTGCTGAGATATTTCAATAAAATAACTCATATCTAGCCCTGATTTGGCAGCAGAAATGGAAATAAAATTCCAGTTAAAATAATACGATGGGTGAATTTCACCACGCACCCCTTTTTTCCCAGCAATAACAAGTGTTGCCTTGCTAACGTAATAAAAGGATTGTTTATTTCCGCTCTCTATTTGCAGGGTTTCTCTACTCAGTTCCCTCCGCAGAGCTGTGAATACGCGGAGATGATTGTTCGCTGCTGATGTTTTGCTGAGCGTGGCGCACAGATAAGCCTGGAATGAATCAGACATATGAGCGCTGGTCGGAATCCAGCAAAATCTCCAGCTTTGGTTTATTAGCCGGATTTGATCCACCTCCCCGGCTGGCTGCAGTGGGGTTCCCACCACCGCCGGGACTTCACTGAACTAATCTGGCCCGCGGTTCATTTAGCCGGGAAAAGGCCAGGTACACGCGATAAGCATGAAAGCATGAAAGCGCTATCGTCATCAGCGCTGGCTGTAATTAAATCGGTGCCAGATTCGACACCAAAGACATAATGTCTTTAAACCGAGGAGCAGGAGCAGGAAAAGACAGTCAAACACTCAAAGAAGGGGATTCTTTCACACTGTGAAGAGAGCTGAGCTGTAAAAAATCACATGTGGAATTATACAGTGGCAAAACACTTAAAAGGCTCCTACATTTCTCTTGTATTTTATTTTCATTTTTAGTTGTTTGTCTTGTATTTATGTACCAACACAGTCGTTTTCCAGCCTCTTTTAATCTTAGAATTAAACAGGCTAAATGTGTTACTGTGCCTGTAGGAGTGAAACATGCAAATAAGCTCTGTTCTGATTGGCTGTCCTGTATTGTGCATCATTCAAAAATAGTCCAGATTGAAACACTCTTTATCTTCAGTCGGTGTGGGCAGGGCTTAAATGTTGTAGGTTGAATGGGTGGAGTTAAACTGCTGTAGGCTGAATGGGTGAAGCTAAACTGCTGTAGGCTGAATGGGTGGAGCCAAACTGCTGTAGGCTGAATGGGTGGAGCTAAACAGCTTTAGGCTGAATGGGTGAAGCTAAACTACTGTAGGCTGAATGGGTGGAGCTAAACTGCTGTAGATGGAATGGGTGGAGTTAAACTGCTGTAGGCTGAATGGTGGAGCTAAACTGCTGTAGATGGAATGGTGGAGTTAAACTGCTGTAGGCTGAATGGGCGGAGCTAAACTGCTGTAGATGGAATGGGTGGAGTTAAACTACTGTAGACTGAATGGGTAGATCTAATTAAATATGTTGGTTAGCTCAAAATCACAAAAACAATTCAAAACAAACCATATAGTTTCCATAAACGGACTCGGTATGTGTTGAAATTTTAGCATTGTTTACACACTTCATCAAACCCTTTCATTACAAAAAAGGGAAAAAAAAGAGGAAAATTAAGTTTTCAATAATTTTGGCTCTTAGATTCATCACAAAGTACCTTTTTTATATTAAATTTTTCTGTTTTGGAAATAAATTCATCCAAAAACGTCCATCACTGGTCAGCATACCTGAGTGCGGCTCCACGGAGAAGTAGGGCTGACCCTGCAGGATGCTGTACACCAGCTTGGCACTGTTTCCGTACGTCGGGTCGTCGGCGTCCGTCGCTGTGACCTGTATCACTGACGTCCCTGAAGAGAGAGAGAGACAGTGCACTCAGTATGGTAGAGTTGCCAGATCTACAATTTGTGCCCCAAAATTAGGGATTTTTTATTTATACTTATCAAATTAAATTATACAGTCAATTAACAGCTTAAAAAATGTTTTCTTTAAGAGTTCTTTAGTCAAGACATTGGTTCTATTCAGAACCGTGAGTTCTATATAGAACCATTTCATGCTTAAATGGTTGTTTGAATGGTGAAATGGTTCCTTATATTGATAGAGAATGTGCTGTAAAATAGTTTTATACAGAACCTTTTTTGAATATGGTTCTACATAACACCAAAATGGTTCCTCTATATGGATGCAATGTTATGTTTGTAACAACAGAAGAACCCTTTTTTGGTGCTATATAGAACACTTTTCAAAAAGGTTCTATATAAAACCATATACAACACATTTTCTATTGGTCTGAAAAATTATTTGACTGTTACAAAGAACCATGTAAGCATGAAATGGTTCTGTATAGAACTTATGGTTCCAAATAGAGCCATTCCCTTTAATGTGTGTAGAGCACTTTTTTTGCCTTTTATTTTATTCTATTTTAACTTTCAACCAATCACTCAATCAACAAACCTGAACTTTTCACTACAGTCAATTTAATTAATTAATTACCTCAAAAAAATCTGTTATTTATTACAGTCACATGCAAAATTTTGTCAAATTCCGTTTGATTTTCTAAGAGAAAAGAGAGTCCTGACCTCTCAGTCCTGACCGCCCAACACTGTACACTTTGCTGTGCTTTGTCTCATTGACCTCACCTGATTCAGTTCATTAACTAATTAACAAGTCCCTCGTTAGCTGGGTCTGGTGTGCTGAGTAGTACAATTTCTATTATTTACTAAATTTAATTTAATTTATAATTAAAAAAATAATGAAACATGAACTTTTTTTAAACATAATATATAACTTTGTGTCATAACTTTTGCACAGGCCACATTTTATGGTCTATTTTCTTTTCCAATATGTCAAATTTTCACTTCACAGGAAATTAGCAAAATTATGTAAACTGCCCTGAAGTCCCCAAAATTCTGCACATGACTGTGCACTGCGAAAACTGTAAAAGTGTTGATTTGAAGTTTTTTGGAGGTTTAAATTGTTTCAAAATATTGCTTTGTCTTGCTTTGCACTGTCACTGAAAATATTTTTCGAATTGACTAAAACCTGTTAATTTGCTCGTTATCATATCAAGTCATTTTTAAAGGTTGAGCCACTGAATCATTTTTACAGTGCGCTGCTCAGTTACAGCTATATTAGTCACAAATTAGCAAAAGGCCCCACATGACAGTTCTTTACCTGTCTTATTTCTGAAACTGTGCACTGTTATGGGAGTAAATGTGTGATTACGGGTCAGACGTTACAGCACAGCGTCCACCTCAGGCTCATAGATTCCTGAGCGATATCCGGAGAAAGGCTAATTTCCCCAGGTCCTCACGTTTGAAATCAATTGCTGCGCTGTGTTTACCAACTTGTCTGAGCATATTTGGAATTGACCCGGCCAAAAACTGCCCGGTCAGAACCCCCTCGTGGCGTTTCCTGGGCCGTCAATGGGAGGATATCGGGGTAACAGATCGTTACACTGTGACAGCACCGCATTACGGATGATATATTGCACAGCAAGAGAGCGGCAAAAACAAACAAACCCAAACACACACAAACACACACATTCCAACACACACACATAGACAGGCTCAGTGCTGGAGCTGCAGAACAACCATCACAACAACAAGACTCGCTCTGACTCACTTTCTCCCGGTCAGATTTCAGCTGTTTTGAATAATGCATGAGGAACAAGCTGTCGCGTCCAGACTCGCAGGGAGAATCAGGGACGCAGTGAATTCACCACCAAGCAAAATATCACAATCAATCACAGTAATAATTTTGTAATTTAAAATAATTTCATACAAAATTTGTACAAAAAAGTGTAAAATACTCAAAACAATAACTTATTTTTTGTTTTCAAGTGTAATGGCAACAACAAGGGGTTATTATTAAATAATAGATGATATACATTAATAATCAATTAACATGTTATCTGTCTTGAGATTTGATGACCACTTTTGAAATATGAGGCTATTTGGATGTGACTAGTCCTATAATTTAATTGAGGATATTGATTTCATAAAAACAAAATTCTGGACATGAGTGAATTTTTTAATGCTTCATTTTGGATATTAATTTTTAGACCTTCATTCTAAATATTATTTTCATTGTGATGTCATTCTAGATATTTAATTATAAAAGCATCATTCTAAATGCATTAACTTGATTACTAACATTCAGAATGAAGATTTAATACAGTTTTATTATTTATAATGCATCCTAAATATCAATGTATCATTATGTAGCTTAATTCTGGATATGATTTTACTATGACTTTATTGTTGTTTTACAACTGTCTTGTTGTGTCTCACTGTGTCATTTTCCACAGTTCATCATATTGCCCTAAAATTTCTTTTTGTTTGTTTGGCTTCATAACATTAATTATTTGAATTTGAACTTTTGAACCGCTGTTTGTTCTCAAGCAATAGAGAATTAGACGGTCATAACACTGTGGCTGTGATTTGGCTGTGACACACAAACCTGTTCTATTGTTTTCATACAATATAATATATTAGCTAGAGTAAACAATCATTATTGCTTCTCATTCAGTGGAAGGATCCAGGGGTGGTGGAAAAACAGCATGCTAAAAACACAGGTAGAAAATTATATTATTATAATGTGTTGCTATGCAACAAGTGTTGCAATAATATTTTACGCTGGATTTAAGGTCCAATTATAAACCTTAAATAAGTTTTTCCAGGTGAAAAGTTTGTATTTGTACCTTTTCATAACAGTGTTTTAATACAGAAAAATTGTTGTGTAAACAGCACACTCTGATTTCTTAGATCAGAGTCTAGAAATCTGATTAAGAAATCTGACAAAGAGGCTGGATTTTAGCTTAGTCATCAGATTTCTCAGTGCGTGTCTACTCTTACTCTGATTTCTTTCGGATTTCTCAGTCTGAGCATGTGCAAAAACAGACCGCGATGCCGGAAATAAGTAAGCAAAACACTTTTGGAGCAACACTGAAACCAAATACATGCTTGACGAAATGAAGGATTTAAATATTCTTCATCTTCTAGATGATGTATGTTTATATTTTCAGGTAAAGTGACGCGATGTTTTGTTTTAAAGCATAAAATGTTTTTTTTTCAGAAATCTGATTACTGTCTGACTCATATAGACCCAGAGTTTCCCCATTATCTGATTACTCAAGTGCATTTAAACACATTGATCGGATTAAAATCTGCAGAAAACTTATTGAGTGCATGTAAACACACTCGGTGTGGTCAAAACTAACTGCTGTATGATCTCCTAAACTCACCAACATTGGACATCTCGGCCACGCTGGCGTAGTAGGGGCCGTGGAGGAACACTGGAGGGTTGTCGTTGATGTCCTGCACCTTCACTATGAACTCTGAAGGAGGCTCTAGAGGTTTATTGGTGTCTCTGGCCACCGCTTGGGCCGTGAGAGTGTACTCGGCCTGCTCTTCGCGGTCCAGCGTCTTTGTGGCGTGGATGTTACCCGTTCTGTCATCGATGACAAAAATAGTGCCCGCTCCCTCTCCTGAGAGAATATACTTGATGTTCCCATCTCCCGTGTCCACATCTGAATGAAGCTGGAGACGGAGAGAGGAAGAAATTGCGTTAGAGGCAGTCATGCCATGACTCGTCACCGCTCTGCAGCCCCTGAAGAACAATGACAGTGAATTAGAGCCCAGCGCAGTCCAGCACTGCTCTCGACTGAAGAGACGCCCGCGGTCAGCAGACATCGGTTCTGTCCGTGTGCGATTGAGTTTGAGTGTGAAATGTAATTCATATCACACACCTGTTCATTTTATAATCATCAGGAAAACAATGGCAGAATCATAATCTATCTATCTACCTATCTATCCATCCATCCATCTATTTATCTTCTTTTTATGGAAAGTAGTCCTTTAGACTGATGGAGTCCTTGTATATGGTTCTATAGAGCATATAGCACCAAAATGGGTTCTGCTATGGTGATGATGTCAAGCTTAGCAATAGCTTAAAAGTTTGTTTGCATGCTGAAATGGTTCTTCGGTTTGCTGGAGAACATCGTAATAATAGGAGAACCATTTTTGGTGCTATATAGAACCATATACAACATTTTCTTTCTATCTATCTATCTATCTATCTATCTATCTCATCCATCCATCTATGTTGATTATGGCATAGCAACCACTTAGCAGCACCCTAGCAACCACCTGGAATACTATGGCAGCTGCACAGCGACACCATAGCAAACATAGCTGTCTATCTATCTATCTATCTATCTATGTTGATTACGGCATAGCAACCACATAGTAGCACCCTAGCAACCACCTGGAATACTATGGCAAGTGCACAGCAACACCATAGCAACCATAGCTATCTATCTATCTATCTATCTATCTATCTACACTCTTTAAAAAGATGGTTCTTCAAGAGTTCTATAGTAAAGGCAATGGTGCCATTTAGAACCATGAGCTCTATATAGAACCTTTTCATGCTTAAATGGTTCTTTGCCTGGTGAAATGGTTCTTCAGATTGGTGGAGAACATTGTAACAATAGCAGAACCCTTTTTGGTGCTATATAGGCACCTATCTATCTATCTGTCTGTCTGTCTGTCGTCTGTCTCTCTGTCTGACTGTCTGTCTATCTGTCTGTCTGTGTGTCTGTCTGTCTGTCTATAGCTGCTGAAAGTCCTTGCTGATAGGTCACCGTTTTGTTCCTCAACATGAGAATATATGTGAAGGTAAACGTCCCTCCTCTGCTAATAAATGCTGTTGCTGTGCATCGAGTGATGTTGATTATGGTTATTACAGTAAAATTAAACTCCTGACACAAATTTCCCCTCCAATAACTCAAACCCTCAGTTTAGTCCAGGTGGGATTTAAAAGGCAAATGTAGGTCTGTCATGTTAGCATCTAACAGACCATAAATCGCCCGTTTCCCCGATGACGGAGCAGTTAGGGAACGTGACGTTATTAAAAAAGAAATCCAATTTATAACCTTTAATCAAGTGGGGCACTGATTGCTTTTGTGGAACAAATGGAGGATACAGCAAGGACTCTGTCTGTAACGAATACACCAGTGACTTCACACAGCCCTTAACCTCAAAGAACGAGGGAGAGAGAGAGAGAGAGAGAGAGAGAGAGAGACGAGAGAGAGAGAGACGGATTGAAAGATATCTACCACTTTTGGTTAATTTCAATGGACAGTTCTCTAAAGAACCATTTTGTAAATGAGATTTATGAGTGTGAAGAACTTTATAAAGTGAGGTTCCATATAATGTAAAGGTTCTATACCAATTAAAGGTTTTATTTGTAGAACTGTACATCCAGTTAGGGAACTTAATGTTTAGGAGGATGGATGGATGGATGGATGGATGGATAGATAGATAGATAGATAGATAGATAGATAGATAGATAGATAGATAGATAGATAGATAGATAGATAGATGTGTTGTATATAGCAGCAAAAAACCAAAAAGTTCTATATAGCACCAAAAACGGTACTCCTATTATTACGATGTTCTCCAGCAAACCGAAGAACCATTTCAGCATGCAAACAAACTTTTAAGCATGAAAAGGTTCTATATAGAGCTCATGGTTCTAAATTGAACCATTGTCTTTACTATAGAACACGTAAAGAACCATCTTTTTTAAAGGGTATAGAGAGAAAGGATTAAACTTTGAAATGGTTCTATATGCAGAAAACACATTCTCCATCAATCTGAAGAACCATTTCACCATGCAAAGAACCATTTAAGCATGAAATGGGTCTATATAGAGCTCATGGCTCTAAATGGAACCATTGCCTTTTCTATAGAATCCTTGAAGAACCATCCTTTTTTCAAGGGTGTAGAAAGACAATGTACATTTTAAGTGATACCTTAGAAGAACCAGTTTTGGTTCTCTTAAGAGACTTTCAACAGATAGTTCTTTAAAGAAACATTATATTTTAATGTGCAAGTGTGAAGAACCTTTTAAAGTTCTCCACACATCTCCACATTCATCACAGCGCTTATGAAATTTTCCAATGAAGTTAATCCAGTCTTACCCGTCCTACAAGCACCGGGTCGGGACCTGTGTATTCCTCGATAACGAAGAACTGGTTCCACACCCAGCCTCGTTTGGAGCGGTGCAGGACCTGGCCCTCCTTACGCCGCTCCCGGTTCCTGTAGACGGAGGGGTGGTGGTGCCTGTGGCCCCGATCCTGAGGGCCCCTGGACCCGGCCACCGCCGCGGAGCTCCACAACACGGCCCCCAGACACAACAACAACACCTGCAGCCTTAGCCCCTCCCACATCCTGTCCACCGCGTGTCCACTCTCTCCGCCGGCCGCAGCTCTCTACACGGGGCTGTCCTCGGGCAGCCGCAGGCCAGAGACAATCCTGGGAAAGTCTTAGTGTTTTGAGTAAATCTCCGGAGAACGTGGACGCTGAAGCTCCTCACTGTGTCCACATCACAAACGTCCGTCTTCCTTCTGTTCTCGCTTCGCCCTGAAAGAGAACCGGAGAACTTTCAGTTCATCTGATTCCTCAGGAAACGATTCAGTGAAACATGAAACCCAAAATAGCACCACAACATCCATCTGTATTGTCCTATATAGAACCATTTCATGCTTAAATGGTTCTTTGCATGGTGAAATGGTTCTTCAGATTGATGTAGAATGTGTTGTATACGGTTCTATAGAGAATATTTTTGAAAAGGGTTCTGCTATTGTGATGATGTCAAGCTTGTAACAGCAGCAGAACCCTTTTTTGGTGCTATGCAGAACTCTATACAACACATTGTCCATAAATTTGAATAACCATTTCACCAAGCAAAGAACCTTTATTCATGCAAATGGTTCTTGGAGTGTTCTATATAGAACCACTGTCTTTACTAAAGGATCATCAAAGAGGACTGCATGGTTAAATGGTTCTTTGCATGAATAATTGTTCTTCAGATTGATAGAGAATGTATTGTATATGGTTCTATCGATAATATTTTTATATAGCACCAACAAGAGTTCTGCTGTTGTGACAAGCTTGTAGCAATAACAAACCCTTTTTGGTGCTATATAGAACCATTTACAGCACACTCTCCATCAATCTGAAGAACCATTTCATCATGCAAAGAATCATTTAATCATGCAAATGGTTCTTTAAATGCTCAAATCATCTTAGAACCATCTTTTTAAGGGTGAAGTTTCTACATTTGGATTGATGCATTTGCATTTTTCAGAAAAAATAAATAAATAAAAAAACGTATTTGAGAATATTTTGATATCAAGGCGATAATATAGTACACAAATGCGAAGAACCCATTCATAAGAACCTACATAACCTGTATCTCATACCTTGTTTACAGCAGATAAACCTTTTTGAGCTTTTAATCAAAGGACGAGTGTTTCTTGCCGTTTCACTTATTTATTTACTGTGTATTTCTCAGGGTTTGATAAATGTTCCAGCTTGTAGTGCAACACAAATCTCTGATCTTATCTTATGGAGAGAGACGTTCTAGATCACAGTGGAGCAGTTAAGCGTCACAAGCTGCGTTCAGCCCACTCAGCAATCAAAGTTTAATTGACTCTGCTGAAATCTGAATGTATTAATTCATTTTGCAGCAGTGTACCCTGAACTAATTAAGCGACAGAGGTTGTAAGCCCATTTGCTCTTATTTAATTAGACATCACACTGCCAGTGTTCTCCCGGCAAAGCTATTCCCCCTGTTGGGGCACACACACCATCCCACATGGTCCTCTGACTAGAGATTTGAAAATTGAGGTTTCGGTTCCTACAGCGGTTCCTACAGTTTGCTGTACTAAGATATTACTTGTTTTTTCCACACGAGCAGAACGCTAATTATAACGACGCAGGAATGTAGGTCACCATACTTCTTATTTACTAACGCACACGTGCTCACGTTACTGACACACGCAGCCCAAAGAGTGAACCGGCAAAATCTCACGTGTTTATTGTGCAGAGATCCGTTCACTCACGGTTCTCAATCTCAATGTTTTTGTGGGTTTCGTTGATGATTTGGAGATTGTTTATGATTTTAGCTTGTCGTTATGCAGATGAGGTGCTGGAGTCATGCACTTTTATCACCACCTGCTAGAGAGAGAGAGAGAGAGAGAGAGAGAGAGTGAGAGAGAACGAGAAAGCGAGAGAGAGAGAGAACGAGAGAGGGAGAAAGGAAGAGAGAGAAAAGGGAAGAGACAAAGAGGAAGAAAGAAGAGAGAAGGGAGAGAAGGAGAAAGAGAGATATGAAAATGAACAAAATATGAAAGAAGTAGAAGAGAGAAATAGAAAGAGAGAAGAAAAAGAATAACAAGAGTAAGACAGAGAAAAGGGAGAAGAGAAGAGAAGAGAAGAGAAGAGAAGAGGGGGACAAATAAGAGAAAGAAAGAGAGAAAAACAGAGAAAGTGAGAAAAGAAGGAGAGATTGAGACAGAGAAGACAAGAGCGAAAGACTGAGAGGGAAAGGGAAAAGAGAAAAGAGCAAGAGAGGAAATGAGAGAGAAGAGAAGAGAAGAGAAGAGAAGAGAAGAGAAGAGAAGAGAAGAAATACAGAGAAAGTAAAAGAAACGAGAGTGAGAGAGTGAGATGGAGAGAGAAGATGGAAAGAGAAGAGAAAGAAAGCAAGAGAAAGACATACAAAGAAGGGAAAAAAGAAAGCGAGAAATCCAAAAAGATGAGAAAGAGACGGAAAGAGACAGAGAAGAGAAGAGAAAAGGAGAGGAGACAAAAAGGAAAGAAAGTGAAAGAGAGAAAAAAGAGAGAAAAAGAGAAAGAAAGAGAGGAGAGAAAAAGGAAACAAGAGAAGAGAGAGAGAGAGAGAGAGAGAGAGAGAGAGAGAGAGAGAGAGAGAGAGAAGAGAGAGAGAAAGAGCGAGAGAGAGAGAGAGATTTTCTCCTGCACTGAGCCACTAATAACCCTCTGCTCCAGCACTCGGAGCCACTGTGGCCTGTTTCTCTCTCTCTCTCCCTCTCTTTCTCTGTGTCTCTCGCCCTGCTGACTGTGTGTGCTGCAGAATGGGGCAGTGGGAGGAACATCAGCGAGTGTGAAAGGAAGGTGAAAGAAGCGAAAAAAGAGAGGGAAAGAAAAACTAAACCAAACAAATCCCCAGACTGCGAGGCAGAGCCCATAAATATGCCCCAAATAAAGCGCATCCAGCAGAGCAGCGCTGAAATGGGGGTCCTAACTCACTCGGGCCGGCCCCTCTGTCAGCATCCATAATGAACGACTGATAACGCTTCATGCTCTCCGCCGTCCAGGCTGTAAATTGGCAGCGGCTTCCAGAAAAAGAAGACGTTTTATCCTCTGCTTTCCTTTCGCTATTGACCGGCCAACGAAATGTCAGCCTGCTACCTGCGCTGAGAGGTTTTTATTGGCCAGAGGGTCCATTTCTCTGGGGCTCTTTTTTCACCAGGATGTTCAAGGAGGCACAAGCGCTCAGACATGTGCTGTCCAGATGAATTCTATGACCACCCAGGGACTGAAAGAGGAGCTGAAAGTGTTCAAAGCCGGATCGTAAGTGCGGGCCAAATGATTTTCAGTCCATGTCACATCAAAAGAGTTGTATATGAAACTAGCCATGCACACAAAGCACCTCCATCTCTAAGGTTAAGATGGCCGCACTGAAAAAAACGGTGAGATCTGCTTATCTTTCGCAGCAGCGTTGACTCCACGACCTCATCACGGCTCATAAAAGCTCTGGCTTTCTTTTATCTCCGTATCACTTTGGCCTGTGTACTTCAACTTAACCTATATTGCACTATATTATTGCCTCCTCCATAATATTTCTATGCATTTCAATCACATGTCCAAGGCCTCACCATTTCTGGCCAAACAACATTCTAATACTCTATTAGAGACCTCTACCTTGTACTTCCACTCACCGGCCATTTACTGGAAACCCCACTCTTGTACACCCATTTACTGGCCACTTTATTAAAAACTCCAACAGTGTGCGTCCACTCACTCGCCACTTTATTGGAAACCTCAATCTTGGCCACTTTATTAGAAACACCAGCCTTGTGTGTCCATTCGCTGTCCACTTTATTGGAAACCCCATTCTTGCCTGTCTACTCACTGGCCACTTTATTGGAAACCTCAATCTTGTGTGTCCTCTCACTGGCCACTTTATTAGAAACCTCAATCTTGCATGTCCACTCACTGGCCACTTTATTAGAAACACCCACCTTGTACTTCCACTCACCGGCCACTTTATTAGAAACACCCACCTTGTACATGCACTCACTGGCCACTTTATTGGAAACCTCAATCTTGTGTGTCCACTCACTGGCCACTTTATTAGAAACCCCGACCTTGTGTGTCCACACACTGGCCACTTTATTAGAAACACCAACCTTGTACATCCACTCACTGGCCACTTTATTAGAAACCCCAACCTTGTGTGTCCACTCGCTGGCCACTTTACTAGAAACTCCAAGCTTGTACGCCACTCACTGACCACTTTATTGGAAACCAAAACCTTCTATGCCACTCACTGGCCACTTTTTTAGAAATGGTCTACTATTTAGGCACTGCAATCAGAAACTGACCACTGATGAAAGGCTAGAGGATGGCTAATATTAACTCTACATAGATGGGCTACATTTTTTAACTGTACACCATCAAGAGAGGGGTTTCAGATAAAGTGGCCAGACCAAATTTTTTCCATAAGATTTCTATGCTTTCCTGTAATACATCAAAGGCCCAACCTGACAAACTGATGAATAAAAGACACTCAGATGAATGCCGTACAGTCAGAGTGATCTTGGCCTAGTTCTCCATGTGTTGGGATATTTTGTCTACCCCCAAAGTGACTGCGGGATGGTGAAGTGACTGAGCAGAGCAGCGTATCCGCCATCTGTAACAGTAATACACACATCCTGAGTCATGCATTAGGCATTCCTCTAGTCTGCCAGACAGCTAAATGTTTAAATGCAGCTCCACAGGGGGATGTTGAGAAGGACATTTGAGCTTAAGTGAGTGGGGGAAATATATCCACACTTGATAGCATCTTGAAAATATTGAATAGAGAAGAGGAGGATGCTGGGACTGTATTTTAAGAAGAGGAGTATCAGTGTCTCCCTCAAATAGAGGGAGGAATAGAGAAATAGAGGGAGGAAATAGAGAAACTGCTAACGTGGATATTAAGCTGAGAGTTAGGGAGGAAAATGCCACAACGTTTTGGAAGCAGAAATGATTACTGTGCTTCACAGCCTATAATTACTAGTTTAGAGGGGGGGAAAAAGCCGCCGAACGGTCATGGAATATATTACACAGACCCAAACAAAACAGTGAATTTTCCAATATGAAATGCCAAAGCCTTAATCATATTCTCTACAGTTACTGCCTCACTACTGCTGCCGTTAGCATCCGAGGAGGACGAGAAGGAGCCGCAGCCTGAGAGGAGAGGAGAGGAGAGAAGAGAAGAGAAGAGAAGAGAAGAGGAAAAGAAATGTGGAAAAAAGAGAAGAGAAGAGGAAAGGAGAGAAGAGATGTAG